ACCACATTTTGGGCCATAACCGTTGGTTGTTTATTTCTCGTCCTCTTTCCACATAATATTTGCACTTTTTCTTTATATCAATTCTTAGTCTTATGGCATGTGGCATATTGTACATTCATAGCATATATATTGTGTGTGGGTGTGCTCTGAACTGATCCGTTCACCAGCTTTACGGCCCACAGGTTAATATGTGTATGGGTTTTTGAAGGCCCCTTTCTGGAAAGTTTGACATGGTTTTTGTCAGGTGTAGCATCCATTCATGTCAGAGGATCCTCACTCCACATTGTGCCCAAATTCTTGGCATTCTTGTGTGCAATGTACGCCTACTTTCTCTTCGTGCACCTGTACAGTGTCATATCACGTGTCCGCTACACCGTACATCAGCAAAAAAACAAGAAACAAAAAAAATACAAAAAATACAAAAAACACCTACGTATAGTCGATAAAGTGAAAGTAAAAGTTAAGAGAATCAGAAGGGGCTAGTGGTGTACCCAACATGGGTTGAATTCGGCGTAGCCCAGTCCCTCCTTAATTCCCATTTAAATGCCCAGAAAAAAGGTTTGAATGCTTTCAGTCGGGGTTTAGGGCAGACAGGGGTGGTTGTAATTGGCAATAGCCAAGTACCCCTCCCCCGCCTTGCCTATATGGATCTCAAACTCATTGCTATTATTTTGTTTTGGTCATACATCGCTGTACAACTCTTTTTTTTATTAGATTTATTGTCTATGAGTAATTTTCTGGAATACCTTTCTCTTCTCTTTTCTCATATTTCTGCTCGTGTTTGGTGTGCAGGAGAGACGATCGATAAGCTTGCACAGCTGCCGCGCCTAACAAAATTTGGATTCCTTTAGAGCGCCCCCAGGCTGTCATGGTAGTCGCATTTACTTGACGCTTATTGGCATTAGCACTTCACAAATTGATTTTTACCGACCTAATTGGGTGCTGAATACTGGGTTCCTTCAAGAAAAATTTGAAGAGATTAATGACCGTTTCAAGGAAATGTTCTGCCACGTTTAAGGTTTGTCGAATCTGCTATCAGATTATGTGCAATAACGTACAGGTAGTTCGTTTTCCTGTCATTGAAACAACCTCTAACACTGTCCTAGTCTGAAGATTGGTTAGAATGATGAGTTGAAAGCTTGTCCAGGTCAAGGAGATTGCACAGATTCCATGCCATATCATTCATTCACTGGCCTACTGATTGGGGTCGAAGGTTCCCCCCCCCCCCTCCCCCAATACAATTCAAACGTGGTGTATTTTAAATTCGATACCAGTCATGATTTTTCGGGATGTTTCTCACTCTTTTGTAAATTATACTTTTCCATGCGTTTGTTGAAAAATGACAAATTCCCAAATTTACAGTAAGGCAAAAAATATGCTTAATTAGAAGCCTACATGTCATGTCACTTTTTTTGTTGAAAAAGTATATTAAAGAAGGATATAAAAACAGAAAGAAAGAAAGAATATTGACCTGCCAGTGTCACAAAATGAGGTATCAAAATATGCTCATCTGACCATAATAAAAAAAACCAGAGTTTCCGGTTGCTCCGACCCTTGGACCCCACCAGGGGCCTTGTGGCGGGCCCCTGAATGCTCATCTGACCGTCATTAAATGCTTAAATCCCCGAGCTTTATAGGGCTCAGTCCCTAGACCCCACGCTAATTAATAACCTGCCAGTGTCACAAATTAGGTATTAATATATTCTCATTTGACCGTAATTAATTGCCTAAAACCCCTGAGTGCATATTGTATGGAGGGTGACAGTTTATTCTGGAACTCCCTTCCAAAACATTCAATATGTAAATGAGAACAGAGAAAAGGTACTTATTGTCCAGTACAATACTTTTCAGAGTTACGTATCTTCTCTTTTGACAAAAAAAAATATGACCTTATTAAATTACAATTGTCTTGTTTGATTTCTTGTAATAACTAATTCCAAAATATCATTAAAAAATATATATATAAGCCAGATAATCAAATGCTTTTATCAAAATTAATAGCTGTTTACACGTTCTATATTTAATTACATGTATATCTTTTATTTAAGAATCTATAGCTTGTTTTAAAACTAGAAACCTAAAATATCAATACAAAACTTAACCTGACTTTTGATGTTCCACGGAAAAACCTTCAAACGTCTTTGTTATAAACAATCAGAATCACATGTCACTGTGCTACTGTAGTAATGTCCTATCTGGATTTATGTCTAATTTCTTCAAACTAGAACTCAACTCAATCTTTCGTTGATTTCACAAAATATGGTAGCTTCTGTAACAATTCCTAAAGTTGCATCTGTTCATACAAGCTTCTGTATAGCACAAAATTGTCTATACTTAAATATTAATAATAATACTTTGTTCGTTTATAGCGCATTGCATGTCTGTTGACATTTCAATATAAAGTATAACAAGATCATAAAAGGAAGATGAAACGCATATCAAAACAATAGAGTTCTTACAAAGAGAAAATGACATCATTACTTATCCTTTAATACTATTGATATACTTATTTGAAAAGGTGAGTTTTTATTTTAGATATGAATGTTTCAGTATCTCATCTAGCCAATATTTGTTTAAGAAATGAACACTTGTCGCTAAATAATACATGAAGAGAAGTGAATACATTCATAACCACTCTGTGCAATCAATATTTTTGACACCAAACTTTGATCTCAAAACATCTAAACTAACATTTATCAAAATTTGTAATTTAGGATTCCAACTTCATGATACTTACTCTTTGGGCGATGTTAACTTGAAACAAGTAGGGAAACTTGAGAAGATTTGTTCCTAACAACTTCGTTGTCAGAAAATCATGGCTGCAAAGAATCTAAGAAAATCTACGATCTCCTTGAAGAAAAAAAAATTGTTCGTTAATTCATTACAAAGGAAAACGTTTAAACGAAACCAAAACCATATAGTGTTTTCTTGTGCAAATGGCTTTTCAGTCCAACGCGTGACTTAAATTGGTCATTTTAGAATAAAAACCTCAACCAACAGCAAAAAATACAGAACAAGAACTTTCTGTTTATCTCTCCTCTTTCTCTCAACCTCTTTCTCCCTATTATATTCTTACAATATGTTTAATAAGAAGACAAATTCGTGCTGTATGTTCGCCTTTTATGCAAGAGGGTCCAAACCATTGGGGCGCGAGAAGAAGTAAAAAAAAGTCGCCGATTATTTTTAAAATCCGAGATATAGAAAATCAATATAACACAGTCTAGTCTTTATTCTTACGAATATTCGGCCGAAAATAGCGGACCAATCTTTTACATTCATGTAATTCCTATGTTCGGAAGTCACGGACATGACGGCGGGGATCAGCATGGCGCCCGTACACGGCATCAAACATCCACAAACCACAGGCCAACTGCAGACGCATTATGCTGTGTAAAAAGAAATCCCGGACCGAATATTCATCTTCTTTGATTACACAGGGGCGACGTCAGGCCCCTGTGTATGAGGGGCGAGAGTAAACTAAACTATTTGATAACAAAAATGCTAATGCTAATGCTTATTCCTATTTTCATAATGCTAATATAGATGATGACGATGATAAGAAGAAGAAGAAGAAGAAGAAGAAGAAGAAGAAGAAGAAGAAGAAGAAGAAGAAGAAGAGGAAGAAGAATACAAATAGTAGTAATGCGATTTTTCGGATGATAATGATAAAGAAAATTAATAGATGCAATAAAATGAACATACACTTAAACAACTAATAACTAAAAGATTAAATGAATAAATAAACAAACAAAACAAATCAATCAATCGATCAATGAATATCTGGGGCTGTCGAAGCCCATTTCATTTCCCACTCCCCTCGGAAGCGTCTCCTCTAAAAGCCAGATAACTAAGACAAAAATCCCAATTGGAAAATGAGAAATGGGAAGGGATGCATCATTATTATAATCGAAGGCTGAAGAAGATTGGCTCTTAGGTTACTCGACAAGTAGCCATGCTGGATTATAAGCCATTGTAAAAACAGTACCCAGGAACTAATCTTATTTACTGGGTGAATGTTCATGAGGACCAAGCAAATTCAATAATTAAAGCTAATATAATTGACGCACTATGGTGACGTCACTATACCATTGGTATCGTGCGAATTAAAGCCAGATTATTTCGACCACCTGCACTCGTGGATTATCGATCGCAAGCCTTGACCAAAAATATGTGCACCATAAAATCCCTGCATTATCATGGTGTCACCGATTTCGAGGAAATATACGGGTACTACATATTGCAGCTGATTCATTATAATCGTTTTGCCAACTTAAATCCCCCGAAGAATAATGGAATCACCCAGCCACAAAAGACGATCATTATATTTAAGATATCATTGCTTCAGAAGCAAAATGTGGGTTCAATTGCGCTCACGCGTGCACATAATCATTCTGAGGATTTAGTCAACATTTCTTTTGCATTTAGATTTATTTTCTTGATATATTAGCATAAAGGCCTAGTATGGTTGATTAACAACGTTGTTGGGCTTATTGTAATCCCAATTCACTATTATCTATTCAATTAAATATACTTTTAGAATGACACATTACATGTCATGAATTGCATGCGTAACACGACAAATAAGACTTTATCCCTGAATAAAGTGCTTAGCAGAATTGAACCATAACGTGTCAGTGATAGTCAATATGTAACGATTTCATCTGATAGTGGAGAAGGGAGGGAACAGAAGAGGAGAAGAGAGATATATAGAAGGGGAGATAGAGAAGGAGAAAAAAAGGAGATGGAGAGAAAGATGTATATAGCTTATTGAATTGAATTGAATTGAACTGATGCTGGTTTTATTGAGAATAAAAGAATGGCGATGTATCGTCGAGGTACGGTATGTTTCACCTTGGTACGTTCTGCATGGACCACCTCCGTGGCACGTTTCTGGAGCGGTACAACATTTCCATTCAGTTTATTACCAATTACATTCAAACTAAATGTATATAACAAAAACAAAATGATTAAGTTCTTCTTTATAATGTTTCTCTTTCCAGTTTGTGATATGTTTCCCGAGAACATCACTGCCGTATTGTCTTCCACATCATGCGAAACTAGCCTCGCAGTACAGTCGTTAGTAGAGACATTTCAAATTCCACATGTTGAGGTCCCGCGAGAGAAATGCGCCGTGCAGCGCCAGAATGGGTTTAGTGTTAGCATACGACCCGATTACTCGCATATAAGTCGAGCCACGTTGGATTTGATGTTACGACTGGGGTGGAAACAAGTCAGTATTTTCTACGATTCAGACACAGGTAAGACAATTAAATTCATACATTTATTCATTTAAAAGGAAAAATCATTTCATAAAACAAAAAGAATCAACTTAAAACAAAACATTATACGAAAAAGACGATTCAAATTGGAACAAAGAAGCTCTCCAGAGCATCACAGGGCTCCAATTGATACCTTTCGCATGAAAATACTGTAGACTTTAAAGATATCGGAAATAGAGATGAGTGAAATAAACAAGGGGAGACAGAGATCAATAAATACACAATATTTTTGTTCCATGTAAAATACACAACCAGAAAAGCGTTGGTGAAAATGAAGGAAAAAGAACTCTTTTGCAGACTGAACTCTTCACCTGGTGACGTTAGCTATATCATCACAGCATCGTGTGTGCATGAAGCCTTGAACCACGATACAGAGTTCGAGAGGGTCCCTTTCTGTGACTCTCTTTAACAAATAATAAGTATGAATTTCGCATTAATGGCACTCACAGAAAAAAGAATTTGATTGGGTTGTGTGATGTAGTTTTAAATATCTATTTATTCTTCTTCTATTTCCATTTTTTTGTATGCACTCCCATCTTTTGTTTGTCTATCTCCTGTATTACAGCTTACAAGAATGTTGAAGATTTATTACTTCTCTCGGCGGCACTGACTGAAACTTACCCACCCCACTTCCGGTTGTTTCGTCTCAAGCAGAATGTGGCCACGAGCAAGCTTGACTTTGTTCACCCTCTTCACACTGTCAAAGATTCCAAGACCTTTAACATGGTGGCATACTGCAGTACCATGAATAATATCAAGTTAATTAGACAGGTAAGACTAAGAGTACTGTTGTCAAATGTGAATAGGGCAACGGCTATCGTAGCGAGTGCGGCCACGGGCAAGCTTGACTTTGTTCACCCTCTTCACACTGTCAAAGATTCCAAGACCTTCGACATGGCAGAATATTGCAGTACCATGGATGGTATCAAGTTAATGAGACAAGTGAGATCTATTGCTTGTGTTCTACTTTTACGTAAGCCCGCCGCTGGGTTTAAGCTCGGTCTAAAGCCGAGTTTGACCCCCCCCCCCCCCCAAAAAAAGAGTAAAATAGTGGTCACAGTTCCCCTTTATTGAATATGGCTTAGTCCCGGCAACGAGTTTTAGTGATTTTTTTTTTAATATGGACCTTAATGAATAATGAAATATAATGGTAGTTTACCACACTATATCATGAATAACGTCATAGCCTGGTAGATGTAAACATGGCGCATTGTTTCATACTAAAAAGCTCCCTAGGTTTAATTTTGGGGGTCCAAAATCGAGTTTAACAAAAGGAGTGAGTCTGAGGTCTAAGGCTTTCCCTTTGTTAAACTATATCTTTATAAACCAAGGCTCTTGAATATTAGAGTATTGCCCATTATGTATATAACATTGTGGAGCACTGCGATGAATAGCAAAGTTAAACAGATAGGTACGACATGTTAAGGTAGATAGAGAACATTGTCTGATGGTGAGAAGAAGTTCCAACACGACCAATATAAAACACCAGACTGATGAAGCAAGATAGGATGAGATGCGAACAGGCGACACGATTTTCTGATAAAATTATGTATTCGTGCTTTCCTTGAGGCTGAGACAGTGTCAGAAAATGTAGCGTTTTTTGTTCGTTTGTTTTCTTGTAAGAGTAAGATTTGATAATTTCTGACTCAAAATAAATGCAAACCAAATTGTGTATCATATAGGCTAAATTTATGCTATTATCATAATAATATAGCACGATCGCAATGACTTTCGAGAAATCAAATCAAGGGTATTTTCAATGCATGTTGTATTGTTTCTTAAAGATTGTATTCGCCCCCCCCCCCCCCACACTCGGTATATTTAGTGTACGCGTATATGCATGTTCCCTCCCTTTGAAAGCACCCTCTATCTGGTGTGACGTCAATACGGGCCTTTTTTTTGGGGGGGCGGACTTTGTTTACCGGAGATTTTGGGAACACGAATGCGGTCCCGAATGCGGACCTCGGAGTGGGGAGGGGGAGGGGGGCGGGCATGTACGTAACATGTAAATGTTCGCCCTTTCAAAAGATGACCCAAGGGCTTTGGGAAAGGGCCTATGTTTATTTTTCGAAAGTTCTGGCGTTCGTGTTATATCAGAAAATAACTGTATATCCAGGGGCATATCGTTACTGCTTTACCGATTGACTAATTCCTCCGTGCATTTGAATTCAAACAGGCGGCCATGTTTGGAATGACCGTCGGGGAATACCATTGGATAGTTGCATCACATGTGAGTATGACGTCATTACTTTGTGGTATTGCCAACGGGTGAGTGTCATGTTGTTTACTGCTCGTATAGAATCAAATGCGAAATAATGCAGTAGTGTATTGAAATCGCAATGTGGATTTGTATTGTGTTGTGTAAATTAACCAAAGTAGGCATCAGAAAATCTGATTGGAACATGATATCCAGGTTTAATGTAGTGGGCCATTAGATGATAGATTTGAGATTGGTAATATGGAGCGCCAGGAGTGTCAAGTCTGACAGACATGAGCTCCATACAAGAACCTATGCACTATTATTAAATAATAAAATGTCTTAACTTTTTTTCTTTCATCAATAATATGATTTTGATGATTTAAGCCTCGCTGGTTGTAGAAACTATTTTTTACAAATGCGTCGTTCATTCAGGAGGTAATTTATAATGTGCTGAGCCATTAGGCCTGCTATCTCCAGTCAAAGTGGGGGCGGAAAGAAAAAAAACGGATGGGAAACTTCCATTAATTCATTCATTTCGGTGTATTGAAAGAAAGTCCCGTGTAAAAGCAGCCTACAAACTGATACAAAATAAGGATTACATTGCTGCATTGTTCAGTAGCTGGGTGGTTTGTATAGCCTGAATGCTACTCACATTTCATTGGAAGAAACACTAGCCCTGATAATCTTATTAAAATAAAGGATAACCGTGAAATAAAAACTAATATGATGTAACTTACCAACTATGTAACATGAAATGGAATATCCATAAGTGAATGTTAAAGTCTAATATCATACTTTTTTATTCATTTTGGAAGGCTCTTCATCCTTCTCTGAACATTGGTCTCATTGTGATGTCATCCTTGTTTTTTGTCTTTGTGATCACGTGACGTTGTTCTCATGTTAAACCCTTACAGACCATATTAAGCCAATCTTCGAATTATCCAGATCACTTAATGGTTGGTTTATACATTATTTCCCGGTTTATTCATGTTTATTTTCAAATTTAAGTTGCTTGTGATTCCTCCCTCTCTATATCGCCCTTACTTCTGCATGCCCGATTTCAATAAACATGTTTACATTTGCTGCGTGTTTTATGTGTTTCTTAACTTTATTTTCAACGTACATGTAATTGTGAGCGCCTATAAATAGCAAGGGCGAAGAACCTTTACTTAGATTTTGATTAATTAACCGAAATAATATTTTCAGCATTTAAACAGCTCTTTAGTGTGACTCTTTTCTGCTTCTGGTTGACATAATTTTCAGTGCAATTTTTGTATTTGCAGTTATTTATTCCATTTTGCCGTGGCATTTTTGGCACTGTAACATTTTCTTGTGATCTATCTGATTTTGTAGTGATGACTGTTATTTCGTTATGCGCTGCTTTAACATGAATCGTCTAATATTTATTTCATTTTTCTTCTAATATTGCCTTTTTAACCTGCTTTCACTTTACTTTTTAAATATTAAGCTAATCGATCATTTTCTTAGTTTAGGATTGCAGTGGCTAAGAGACTTAGCACACAATTTTATACAACCTTTTTGTGTACAACAGAGATATTTTTATACACAAAAGTAGATCATCGTTCTATTGTGTTAAAAAAATCTATTATTTTGGTATGTTTCTAATGTCAGGAGTGGAGTAATGCATTTGGCCAGCCTCTTGCCGATAGATTCATTCGATATAACGAGGTGAGTATCCACAACATTCACTTGCTTAATAAATATTGCCATCCGTTAATCAAGTCTATAGTTTTTTTTCTCAGTTATCATGGCTTGTACAATTCAACCGATCCCAGCAATGTATGTGGGGAACATAATAATACAAAAAGGAATTGAAGCACTGTTGGAAAAATAAATTATAAAATGTTAATGGAAATTATTGCTGAGTGAAAACAGTTGTCTGTAACAAGTACTTGTTCATTACTACAAATTAGGTTCACAGTTTCGACATTTCTCGAGATGATACATGTACATCAGGCTGTACTGTCATCCTGGTAAACATCTTCAGCACCACTGCTCATATCAAATACAGAGAGAGAGAGAGAGAGAGAGAGAGAGAGAGAGAGAGAGAGACGGGAGAATAGATGGATAGAGAGAAAGAGAGAGAAGGAGAACGAGAGTGTGTGGAGTGAGAGGGGAAGAGAGGGGAGAAGGAAGAACAAGAGAAATAAAGAGAGAAAGGGAAAAGAGAGAGAGAGATAGAGAGAGAGGGAAAGAGAGAGAGAGAGGGGAGAGAGAGAGAGAGAGAGAAAGAAAGAAAGGAATTAAGATACATTTATGTAGATAGAAAGAAGGAAGAACAAGAGAAATAAAGAGAGAAAGGGAAAAGAGAGAGAGAGAGATAGAGAGAGAGAGAGGGAGAGAGAGAGAGAGAGAGAGAAAGAAAGAAAGGAATTAAGATACATTTATGTAGATAGAAAGAAAGAAAGAAAGAGAGAGAGAGAAAGAGAGAGAGAGAGAGGGGGGGGAGGGGCTCGAATAGTAGAAACCACAAAGTAGCTCGATTAGGAGAACGGAAATGGCAAAAGGGCATTGTTCTTTTCGTCCATTACCCCTTGTATATGATCACAAGAACGTACCGACCATAAAAATATAAGAGGTTTTTAATTTCTACTCGTTAAAAGAATCATTAGATTAAATTTCTGAGCTTGCAGTACCTTTTGACATTATATCCATGAAATCATTAATACTTTAATGGATACTGCATTGACGTTTCATTTAAATTTGCAAATGCAAGCCTGTATAGGTGATACGACCTTCTCTCCAGCAACAATTTATCTGGGTTTTATTTTGTCAAAATACTAATGTTATTGTTATTGGTAAGGTTACAGTTAGAGTTAGGGTTTAATATGTTTAGGGATTGGGTTAGGTGAAGGTTTAGTCCCAAAGTTGAAATTAGGAATTGGGTAAGTGTATACATTTGTATATTTATACGTCGTATATTTGTATATTGATTTGTATATAAGTCGTATATTTTGTATATTGATTTGTATATTTATTCGTATATTTATACGTCGTTTTTTAAACGAGTTTCCTATAAATTTAGCCTGAACAAGTTACAATTTTTAGATGCAACCAGAGACATTATATGAACATCTAAGGAGTAAAGAAATTTGAATTACATTAGACGCCGATATCAGTGCATTAAAAGTAGTTAATACTTTAAATTACAACCTACATGTATGACCTTTGCCCTTTGCAGGAGCCTGTGGATGAGTTCCGGTTCTTCAACGGTTCCAAAGGCATCTTGACCCTGCTGAAGCAGAGCGTGAAGATTGACCCCACCCGGGAAGATTTCTACCAAGCCTGGTTGACCCTTGACCCTGATCTAGAAACACAACTAGAGGAGAACGCAACAGAAATCATGCCAGATTATCTACAGCCTATTGAGGTGAGAATTATATTAATTAATTACAATTAATTGTATCAAAATGTCATCCTATGGAGGCAATTTCAACAGCCTAGTGCGTCACCTATTGAAATACGCAAACATAACAATGACATACTAGATTATCCGAACATTATTTCTTTAAGTAGTACAATAGGATTTTGAAATTGCCCGTGTATTTACTCCTAGGAAGTTTCTTCTACCGCCTAAAATGGCTTTTATTTGTTTGTTTTTTTCTTTTTCAAAACACCATTTTTCTCTTCTTTTCAATATATAATCCTATATGTAACTTCAAAAGAGAATGCAACATGTTTGCTCCAATCAAATTTCCTCTGAAACATCGTAAATGAGCAGAAGAGCTTTTGTGGGTTGATCCTGTCAATGTTTGTGTTATTCTAAAGTAGCAATATGCTCCTTTTCAGTATTACTCCTTAGCGTAACTGTACAAAAGAACACATCAGAAATTAATGATGCCCGACTACCAGAAACCTATCGAAGCTATAATCGTTTGAACATCGTAGATTAACCAAAAAGCTTGTACGTGTTGATTCTGTCAATTTTTTTCTAATCGTAAAATAGGATTTAGCATAACTCCACAAGAGAACCCAACATGATTTTATGCCCGACTGCCTACAGAAAATCGAGGTGATATAACTACATGTATATCCATCTGTTAGGATATTAGTAAGACCTATACACACTAGGTACCTGTTGAAGAGTCTCACGCCTTTATCGACATACAGAGTGTTGGGATTGTTTCAAAGAGTGGAAAGTTATGAAACTTATGATCTATTTACATGTATCAGTATATTATCTCTGTTTTTTGTAATGATGTCGAGGAACCTTGTCATTTTATAAATCACCTTTGTCTCGATTTCGTAGATATAGAGTCGACTTAAAATAGTGACATCTAAATGATTAACCAGCTGTTCAATAGGAAAAACCAATGACCGGTCATTACCACTTTGTAATTTTCGATACCTTATACTCATTTGTTTTCATACCCTTGGTTGTCCTTGTTAGACTCACCGCCCCCACCCCTGCCCCACCCCCTCCCCGGTTTCACAAAAACTACGCTAATATATTTAATTTTATAAAATTATCGCCTTTGGCGATATTTGTGTCGTTCACTCAAATGCATTTCGCTATTAAAATGACTGAATTTAGAAACATCTCATGCTATAATAACTTATTTTCCTTTCATGTTGTATTTTCACAGTATCACAAAGCATACCTGTACGATGCTGTGCGCGCTCTGGCGGTTTCCATTTCGGATGTGGTAGGCAAAGGACGCTTTGTCGAGCCCGAGATCTCCCGTTGCTATGACAACACTCATCGCAATACACGGGGCTCCAACCGGCTTAAGAAGGCACTGAATAAGGTGAATGTTTATAGGGAGGATGGAAAGTGGTATGGCGCCCGTATCAGGGGAAGTGGGCATGGGGAACGCCCCCCTCTTCATTACTCAAAAATGGAGTTAGTGGGCAAGGGGAACTAGGGGAGATGACGTCATAATTCAGAATATAAGGCTTTGTATCTTCAGGAAAAAGCGCTCTTTATCACTTTTAATCCAATTATCACCATCACCATCACCACTACCACAACCATCATAATCATTACCATGTATTTACTTATTTTTTAATACAAATTGTATTTACTTAGTATGAAACAATGATCAAGAGCACGTTCAAAGAAGTCATGTGATTAGAATTTATCAATCAAAATTATTCATGCATAAACTCAATCTGTAACTAAAAACTCCCCCTTGTATATCAACTTGCCCCCCCCCCCCCTCCTCCTTCTTCACGACTTTACGCTACGCATTCGAGTTGAGGCACATGAGAGTATTGGAATGTGATCGTGCTGATAAAGACATGTAGGGATATAATGACGTCCACTGCAAAGAAGATGAAACTAGATCCATGATGAGACACACCTACTGAGAATTTATGATGTATTACATCTAAAGGGCTTACAAACACACAGATCAAGTAAAGCAGACAAATGAGCTGGTAGAATACTTTGGCTATACATAGCTGCCAACCATTATGAAGCAGTAATTCCTTTCCCCCTTGTTCTCGTTCTTTAGCTTGTTCTTGGTCTTGTTCTTGTTGTCCTTGTTCTTCTTCGGCAAACTTAATGTTATGAACCCTAAATTCCTTTATTTTTTTCAGAAAACTTTTATGTGAAAGTCTATAAATATATGCTAATCCAATTTTTGCCTTAAGAGACTCCTAATGTTCATGTGGAAGGCGGGCAGACATGGTTATACTTCGGGTGTACTACTGGGCAATTTTTATTCTAAAGCACATTTTTATTCTAAAGCACATTTTACATCACCTATCAATTCATTAAACGCAAGTTACATGTAAAGCCTCGGTCACATTACGAACTGCTACGAATTCCGTACGAACGATTTTCTGACAGTGGAAATTTGGAAAGACAATGGAAAAATAGGGAGATTCGTATGAAATAATCGTTCGTACGAACCTTTGTGACCGTAGCTTTAAGTTATGATTTAAAAATGGAACATGTTTGGTGACAATGATAATAAAGATTTTTTTAAGGTAAAGATTTTATTACAGATATCATTTCTTCAATTCATCATAAGAGTCCAATAACCTATACTATATTAAGGAGATGAATCATTTTCCATTTCCATGTTCACATTTTCAAGGTCGAAACTGAAGGTATGATGGGAATAATTCAGTTTAACCGAACGGGATACAACGAAGAGGTCGCTATTGATATCATCAGTGTGGAAGGAAGAAATAATGATACCAAAGCCTGGCAGGTGAGTTGTTTTTTTGTTAAGTAGTCTCGTTGCCTATGTGCTGTATGTCTGCTTTTTCCTTATATCTACATTCTTTTTCTCTTTTTTCTTTCTTTGTTTCTTTCTTTCAGTTGTTGTTGTTGTTGTTTTTTGTTTTGTTTTTTTTTGGAGGGGGGGGGGCAAAACAAAATCATGAAGTTCTGAGAAACGTTTAGATGACATATATTTGAAATGCAAACATATTAGCTTTCTGTATATATTTGTTAATGAATATTAAAAGTTTAAACATTTTTCTTATATCCAGCCATTTGTTTTATCAGTCGAACAAGTATTCATTTTTTTTCATAAACGCCCCCCAAAAATCTTTCATATTCTCTATACAGATTCCCCAAATAAAAAAAATTGAAAAGAAAGTAAAAGCAAACAAAATAATACCGGAAGCTGGATATCAAAAGAGATTGTGACTGCGTCCTTATATAACACGCTCACTATGACTAAATTGAAAAATTAACTCAGTGATAACTTCAATACCCTATTGTATCGCCAAAGGAAATGTTGTCCGGATTACATAAAATGTCTTAGTAATGTTTTTACAAGTTTTAAAGGGGACGCACACGGCTGTTGAAATGGGCCGTTTTCGTAATGTTGCTAAACTTAATGCATAAAGGTGAAGTGCCTCAATACAACTTATTTCATTCACCTGTTAAGAATAATTGTTTTTCAAAAGTCAGAATGCAAACTACTTTACAACACATATAAATTATATGTGTTGTAAAGTAGGGCAAGCCATAATGTTTGTCCTACCTAGCAACAAATAATGTATGCAATTCGCATTCTGACTATTTATATACAACTTTTTGTAACAGGTCAATGAAATAATTTTATCAGGCACTCTTCAAGAGCGTTAAATTTGGTCACATTACGAAAATAGCCTATTGCGTATAGGTTTTGTTAACTTGCTAATAAAGTGGTTAGGATAGTTTTGAAGTATTCCTGGAGAATGAAAGTATTTATTGGTGTTTATTTGATCAACCAGATTGGATCTTGGGATCACGAGTCGAAGCTCACCCTGGATCAGTTTCCTTTCAGCAGACGATATGATGATTTCCATAACAAGACATTCAACATCGTTACTATTGAGGTAATATTTATCTCAGGGCAAATAAACCTGTACAGCAAGTGGTTTCAAAATCTATAAATGGAAGTAGATTTTATTAAATATCATGCTGTAGTGAAAGGAAGAAAATCGCCCCCAAAACGAATTTTCAACAATTCTTCAAGGTGCGTAGATGAAATTTGCAGGAAAAGGAAGTAAACCGTCCAAAATGATTAAGGGGATACGGGGGGGTTCGTGTTAAAGGTAAAGACCAGTTTGGGAAACGCCCCCTCTCAAAAAATGAAACGGAATCTTTTTTAACCAATCAAGTGAAAGAATATGTTTTGACTAATACGTGATGATACCAATTTTGCCGGGGAACCGCCTACTGATTGATATATTTGGTAAATTATTATATCTATCCGGACTGGATAGATATAGGGTAGTCCCATACAAATATTTCTGTGTACAGTGCTCGTAACTTTACAAAGACTGGGCCAAATTTTTTATCATTTTGATGAGTCCAGAACCTTGCAGTACACACCAATTACATGTATATACTAGATGATCAACCTTTTCCACAACGTTTCTTTCACAATGCAATCGCATGACCAGAACTGGTCTATACCTTTAATGTGTAGCAATGTAGAATAACAAATATCAGTTTCATTAGGTGCATGAAATGTCACGTTTTTCCATTGACTGTCGACACTACAATCAGTAAGACGGTATATTTTGTGAATTGATGTTGGAGGTATACAAGCAATACCAGGCAATCCGTTTACCTACCAAATACCAGCAAAAACACGCCACAGCTAGTACCGCCGCACCAGGTACTGTGGCATGCTGTGTTGGTATTTCGTCTTTGTAGGGAAACAGAGTACTAGCAATGGGGTTTAGAGTTATGTCTAAGCCGTAATAGATTGGGGGCTTGTCCGGGGTTCGACCCGAGACCTCTCGCAACCGAAGCTAGAATCATACCTCTAGACAAACGTATCACCCTCATTCTTCCTGCTATTGCGTAAGGCCTCCCTGTGCGCTTCTGGCACGAGCTCATAGGCTCTGGGGATGGGACTCTTCAGTTCACCCTAACTACAGCTCTCTTCGACTCACAAAGAGGCATACACATCCTGAATCCTACTTGCTTAATGTAGGCTCAAGCCAAATAAGGTCTCTGATATTCTTCCATACTTTTGTTTATCTATGAACATTCTCCTCCTTTTATTTTAGGAAGCGCCATTTGTAACATTGGAAGATACAGTCAATGGTCCGAAATACACCGGGTTCTGTATTGATATGCTGGAGAAAATTGCCGAGAAACAGAATTTCAAATACAATCTATACCTGGTAGGTGATAAAAACTATGGCGGTAGGAATGAAGACGGACGATGGAACGGGTTGGTCGGTGACGTGTATTATGGGGTAAGAAAGTAGTTTAAATATAGTTCGAAGAAGATAAATATTAAAGCTCTCATTTATTTTTTACTGTTCATTTCATTTTGGCTGTATTAAAATCTTTCATGTATTCAGACATTTGTTGGTTAAAAATATCGTTTTGCCTAAAAAAAAATGGCTCCATTTGATCAAATCATTTTGAATACATTTTGATGCAGGCTCATTAGTATGAAATAGTAGGGTAAAACATGATATTGATCGTATAATGTTATACTGTTTTCTCAAGTTATATCTTGTTTCATATGTAAAATGTGAAAGTCTCATTAAATGATATAGTAAAAATAAATGAAAAAAATTGTACATGTATCTGCCAGGGCGGAGCAAAATAATTTTGAATTGAGATTAAAAAGCAAACGGTTATTGTTATTTATCATCATTTTGAAAAATAATTAGAATCATACATACAGGTGTGATAAGCAGTCTGATTTTGTTTCCCTTCGTTTTCTTTTGTGACGTAGAAAGCAGACATGGCCGTAGCAGGGATGGTGATCAACTCAGATCGTGAAAATGTGGTTGACTTTACAAAACCTTACATGAATTACGGTGTGGGTATCTTACTCAGAAAGCCACAGAAGAAATCGAACGTCTTCGCATTCCTCGAACCACTTGATATAAAGGTTAATAACGAATGAAATCATAGCACACCACACCATTAACCATCGCTGTACACTTAATACAAAGGAAAGACAAGGGGCCATATAGAGTCTCCTTCAAAATGATAACGATGGGACCGACAATGGGATAAATTACTGTTAGAACTTTGGAAGTAGATTTCTGCTATATTCAGATTATATCATAAACGAATGTACGGTTAATATGTCCTAAAATTTGCCGTTCTTATTCTTAAATCAATTGACTATATAGAGTTATTTGTTTGTTGGGTTTGTTGTTTATTCGTTATAGGAAGAAACATGCGATTTGACATTTCTTTGTTTTAGATATCTATCAACTATTAACTTTAAGTAACACGTCGGCTGAATTAACGCAATGCATCACTCGACATTTGTTTTATAGCAAATCTGTCAACCATTAGCTCACTGTGACTCTTTTAAAAACCTAAGTCACAGCCGACTCCAAACCGACATTTTTTTGGCCATTCGGGGTATTAATGTAATTTTTGTTGTTTGTGTGCTATCGGTCTGGTGTCCGTCTCGTTCGTCTGACTGAAGTATTAAGCCTGAATTGGTGTCCACTATTTCACTTCAAAATATTACAGAATATGCACTTTACCTCTGACCTTTGACCTTGGTTGTTCTGCAGGTATGGGGTTGTGTCCTGGCCTCTCTGTTCGTGGTTGGATTCCTTATCTTCATCTTGGATCGTCTAAGTCCATACAGTGCTTATGGGAAGGGTGGACCCGATTGCGACGAAGCCGATGACTTCAATCTCCTCAACAGTCTCTGGTTCGCCTTCGCTTCTTGTCTTCAGCAAGGTAACCAAGAACTCGCTCTCGATGTGTAATGCTTTATGTTAAGTGAAACCTTAGACTAAGCGCTGTTAATATCCATTGCTCCTTACTTTTCGAGCTTTTCGTTGGCGGGAAGCCTTCACAAAATAGCAATGCTTTGACATTATTCACTAATAGTCATTTTCTGCTTTGTTGTATATTTGTGTGTGTTCCACAAAGTGATTAGGATCGATTTCACATACAAAGCAATGCATTCTTGTAGACTCAACTCTCATGATGATAATGAGAGTGTGTATTAAGTATTAGTTTATACATTTTATACATTATTTTGTATACATTTTTGTGTTGATGATGATGGCGATGACAAAGTTAATCTTAAAGTAAATCTCGATCACGCTGATACCTTATCACTTTGATGATGATGATGATGAGGATGAGGATGTTGATGGTATTAAATGCTCTTCATTTCTAGCACTACATGGGATTATCTTCATCGCCAATGCTTTCACTACGGGGTGGGCATTGTGAAGAGTTCAGCACCATGCAATGTTAGATGTCTTTCCTTCTGAACTGAATGGCCGTATCCATACCTCAAAACCAGTCGGAATTCCAGTATTGGTGTCATTAATTTGAATGGAAAAAAAAGTCAATTGATATACATTAATATATCAGCGGTTGAAAAAGTAAATTTGATAAGTAGTTGCTCACCTTCAACAGTTTATCGAAAACTGTACCCCCTGACAAAGATATTGTCCAAGACAAACTTGTGTGCAATATGTAAGCTATTATTTCCCCAGGTATATTGTCTCTGATTTGCAATATGAATGTATCTAATCACTCGGATCGAAATACATTTAAACAGAATGGTAATTATCCTTTCTTGTCTCTATTTCTCCATTCATAACATGTTCATCAGCCTACTGGAATGTGAGAACCAATCACCCTGTCGAAGGCAAATATGCTCAATTCCTAAAACTATTATTTTTACGATCTCATTACTTACAAAACAACAAACTTATTGTAGGATGAAGGAAAGATCTTTATCTTTGGGAACGGGAATTCCGTCTCATAATGTCGATTATTGAGCTCAAAATTTAAAAGAAAAGAAAAAAAAATCCACGGCTTTGACATAAAAAGTAACTTCTTGACAAACATTGTTCCTTAGGTGCTTTCATTCCAGTAAGTTGATGACTCAATCTTTTGAAAATGATTTAAAAAACTCATTCTCTAGCGACATAATTCTCTTTCCCAAAGATAGAAAGCTTTTATTCTGTGTATTTTAAAACTATAGTTGCATTTTTAAATTTTTAATGTAGTTTCTTTGACAATTTTATTTGATAGGTACCCGTAGGAATTGCAAGATTGGCTATATAATATAGACTTATATCATGATCATTTTGCTCCGAATTTGCTTCTTAATGTGAGATTGCTTTAAAAGCAGAATTTTGTTTCCGTTGCAAAAGTTTTGAATAAGTGTGAAAAAAAATATTGAAGTCATTTGAAACAACAGGATGGTGGGATTTAGTGAAAGAGGGTGTGTAACTGAAAACGGAGAAAGTTAATCATCCCATGTTTCTAATATGAGTATTAAATGATTTCCCTTGACCATAATTAGGAGGTGACAATACACCTGTATCAGTGTCGGGTCGGATGTTGAGTGCTTTCTGGTGGTTCTTTGCCCTCATCATCATCGCCACCTATACGGCTAACCTGGCCGCTTTCCTGACAGTGACCAGGATGGAAAACCCTATCAACTCCCTGGAGGACTTGGCCAATCAGAACAAGATCTCCTACGGTACCATCGAGAATAGTAGCCTTCACAGATTCTTCGAGAAGAGGAAAAACCAAGTCACCTACGAGCGAATGTGGGACTTTATGACATCGACTTCTGTAAGTCCTTGGGTGCCTTCGGACAAGGCCGGCTACCAAAGGGTCAAGACCGAGGACTATGCCTTCTTCTGGGACGCACCGATCTTGGACTACATCAAGCAGACAGAGTGTGATCTCATGACCGTTGGCAAACCATTCAACCTCAAGGGATATGGCATCGCCACGCCGCAGGGGGCGGCCTACAGGGATAACCTCTCCGTTGCGTAAGTCTTGAAACTGTATATCAACTTGTATACCTCAGTCACACCGCCAAACCTACTCCAAACCTACTCCTAACCTACTCCGAACCTACTCCGAACCTACTCCGAACCTACTCCAAACCTACTATAAACCTACTCCAAACCTACTCCGAACCTACTCCGAACCTACTCCGAACCTACTCCGAACCTACTCCGAACCTACTCCAAACCTACTCCAAACCTACTCCAAACCTACTCCTAACCTACTCCGAACCTGCTCCAAACCTACTCCAAACCTACTCCGAACCTACTCCAAACCTACTCCAAACCTACTCCAAACCTACTCCGAACCTACTCCGAACCTACTCCGAACCTACTCCAAACCTACTCCAAACCTACTCCAAACCTACTCCTAACCTACTCCGAACCTGCTCCAAACCTACTCCAAACCTACTCCGAACCTACTCCAAACCTACTCCAAACCTGCTCCAAACCTACTCCAAACCTACTCCGAACCTACTCCAAACCTACTCCTAACCTACTCCGAACTTGCTCCAAACCAACTCCAAACCTACTCCGAACCTACTCCAAACCTGCTCCAAACCTGCTCCAAACCTACTCCAAACCTACTCCAAACCTACTCCGAACCTGCTCCGAACCTGCTCCGAACCTACTCCAAACCTACACCGAACCTACTCCGAACCTACTCCGAACCTACTCCGAACCTACTCCGAACCTACTCCGAACCTACTCCGAACCTACTCCGAACCTACTCCGAACCTACTCCGAACCTACTCCGAACCTACTCCGAACCTACTCCAAACCTGCTCCAAACCTACTCCAAACCTACTCCGAACCTACTCCAAACCTACTCCTAACCTACTCCGAACTTGCTCCAAACCAACTCCAAACCTACTCCGAACCTACTCCAAACCTGCTCCAAACCTGCTCCAAACCTACTCCAAACCTACTCCAAACCTACTCCGAACCTGCTCCGAACCTGCTCCGAACCTACTCCAAACCTACACCGAACCTACTCCGAACCTACTCCGAACCTACTCCGAACCTACTCCGAACCTACTCCGAACCTACTCCGAACCTACTCCGAACCTACTCCGAACCTACTCCGAACCTACTCCGAACCTACTCCGAACCTACTCCGAACCTAATCCGAACCTACTCCGAACCTACTCCGAACCTAGTCCGAACCTACTCCGAACCTACTCCGAACCTTCTCCTAACAGTCCAAATGTCTAGCAAATCTTGACCATTTTGTTATTAATTGTGTTCGGTCTGGTGTCAGTCTCCTCGGTGTGACTGGGGTATCACTTTAGTCACTGACCGACATGAAATGCATGGACTAAGATATTGCATTAACTCGGCAGAAAAGAATTTAATGTTGATACAGCGATTGCAAGACGGGCCATCCGATTTTTCAATGTTGTTTGGTTGGGATTAGTTTTATTTTCCGTATGAAAAATATATAAATAAACATAAACGAATGATTATATACTTGACTGGATTGCCCTATTTATATCATTAATATGATGGAACTGTTCTACCTAGCGTCCACTTGATTCTTTACTTTGAGACCAAATACCGTGGCAACCTCTGTTCAATCTCACTTTCCTGTTCTACTAGTGTCCACTTGATTTTGAGACCAAATGCCATGGCAACCTCTGTTCAATCTCACTTTCCTGTTCTACTAGTGTCCACTTAATGCTTTACTTTGAGACCAAATGCCATTGAAACCTCTGTTCAATCTCACTTTCCTGTTCTACTAGTGTCCACTTAATGCTTTACTTTGAGACCAAATGCAATGGCAACCTCTGTTCAATCTCACTTTCCTGTTCTACCTAGCGTCCACTTAATGCTTTACTTTGAGACCAAATACCATGGCAACCTCTGTTCAATCTCACTTTCCTGTTCTACTAGTGTCCACGTAATGCTTTACTTTGAGACCAAATGCCATTGCAACCTCTGTAAACCCATTGCTTACTTGAATCTGGTAATCCCTGTTTTAAGCCTATGAGAGTTAGAGAATTTAGTAGCCAACGGGTTAAATCTCACTTTCCTTTGACAGTATCCTGAAGCTGCAGGAAGAGGGCATCCTTGAAGGGATCCGCAAGAAGTGGTTCGAGCGGGAATCCATCTGCCCCGAGGAGATCGTCAACAACAACCCCAACTCCAAGGCCTCGGCCATCGGTCTCTCAAAGATCGCAGGAGCTTTCTACGTCCTCATCATCGGTGCCGTTCTCTCGTTCATTGCCGTCATCGTTGAGCACATGTGGCATCGACCACCGTCGTTCTACAAACGAAAGCGACAGATGGAGGCGCGCAAAGCAAAAGAAAAGGTCAGTGGTTTTATATTACCTGTCTGCGTGCATAATAATTATCAAGGACAGTAATCGGCCTAACTTTCGAGTGTTTTTCTTCAATGTCCAGTTCTTTTAAATCGCGGTATTACATTGACGTCACTCGATATCTTGTCTTCGAGACCCCAATCAGGGGCGTTTACAGGGATGGGTGTTTATCAACTTTCGATTTGTGATATCTGCGTTCTGTTTGCCTTTCGGACGCTGGATTTAATACATTAATGATCTAGAAAATATGACTTTTGCATTGATATAAAATTCGACCATATTTATTATCAATAAATATCAACTTTAAGAAATCATATATCAAACTCGATTTTCAAATTGGCTACAGGCAACATGCTTGTAATTTTTTGAAACAGTTAAACTTTCAGGCGATGCATTTGTGTCAATTTGGATTTTGTCCATCGATATTTTACAGAAAAGATATTTTGACGACTGTTTAACATTAGTTTTGTTCATTTTTTTCCGATGAGTTATTTTGATTTTGGAGAATTGCCATTGCCAAAGATTGGCGCGCAATATTTTTTGTCGCGTTACTTAGAATAGGTGATTCATTTTGTCTACTTATCGAAGGAAAGTCTGTTATGAAACTTTCTCTTAAAAGTATCTGTTGTGTAACTTTCATCGCTTCCTATATATATATCATATTAATGTATTATCAAAACGAAAACCCTGCATCATGAAATAGAGTCAAATAATTTTGTATGCTCCAGGTGCCTAATGCTACTAACTAGTATATTTTACATGAAATCATATTTATGACTAATTCTTGCATTGTGCCCTTTTTTCACTAACAAACTGCTTTGCCATTAACTTAGAAATGTCAGCTGCATTTAAGTGCATAGAATAGTTGTTTTACATTTACTCATTGCATTGTGGTTAATGCCAATGGACTGGGGACATTTCAGTCGTGCTCTATCCTCACACATGTCCAAATGCCTATAAACCCTCTTCCCTCCCCTCCCCCTCCCCTCCCCCACCCCTCCACCTCCCCTCCCCCTAACAAAACAAATTAAATTATATTAAATTAAAATAAAGATGAGCCCCGACACAACGTCCAACACACCAGCGGTGAATCAATGTAAAGGTCAAACTATTTATAAGCAATGTCGCATATTATGTTGAATGGTTACTAACATATTTCATTTTTTTTGATGAAATCTCCTCTAATCAGTGCAAATGTCCCTTCCTTCCTATATCCCTCTTTATACCCACCACCTTCCTAAAGCAAATTCATGGCCACACCTTAAATCGCATTGAAAGCCACTAACAATCAAAACAATGCTGACTTCACATGTAGCTCTCTTTTCTTTATTCTCATCTTAACTGCCGCTAACAAAAATGAATTTTCATGTCTAACCTCTTTTTTTCTACATGGTTATGTTGTGTTCCTACATGTTCAATCTCTTGACTAACAGCGCAAAGTGGTGTTCATATCTGTAAGTGCTTGCTGTAACTATACACGCAAGTAGTAGTTCAAATCGTTCTTGTCTGGTTGTTTGTTCTGCCAAATACGAACATACCCTGTGCAAATGTCAATACTAACACTGCATGTCCAGCATGATTTGATAATTATGGAGGCATTTATTTGGTCGGATGGACGCTATTTTTATTATTTGAACAATAATTTTCTCGAAATATTGTTTGTCTTCATTTGCTTTAAAATAAAAAGAATTTGCATGAAAAGGTGACCGTCGTACATTTTTTACAAATGTCAAACTTCTGTTCAGTCAGTATATACTAAAATGAAAAGACAGGGAAACACATTTCAATTGTCACTTTTTACTCGGATCTATCGGCATGGTAATACAGCGAGTTGGATACATACTAAACACTAACATGACCATCAAAACGGGACTGAATACTCAAACAGGCATTCGTGTCTAAAGCCATTTTTAATACCCCAAGATGACATAAATACAACGACTTTTTTGTTAAAGGTAAGCATAATATGAAATTGATCAAATCAATGGTGTTGATGAAACTCAATTGCGAATCCTGGAGAATATTTTCTTATTTCAATTGTATACTACGGATTCACAGGAAACTTTCTTTGGGTTTGATCCTTTAAAATTCCATTAAAATCTTTAAAGTCTTGTCTGTCGTGTTGATAAAATTGTAATGTATGTAGTCACGTGTTATTGTATGCGGGATATAACATTGCGCCACGGTTTGGGTTTAGCGGAGTTTGTTCAAGTCGCGAAGATGGGGGGGGGGGAGGTGTGGTTAAAGGTGTTGATGATTGTCCAAGGTACCCCTAGCCACGACTAAAATGGGTGTGCTTCAGTCAAAACACGCCTACCAAATTTAAAAAAAAAATTTTTATAGAATTTATTCATCAAACTGATAAAAGTGTTAAATCACCGTCTCTTACCCCAAACGTAAAATTAAAACAAAACCTGAATAACTATCAACTTAAAGCTTAAAGGAATAAGAAGAATAAGAAGAAGGGGAAGAAGAAGAAGAAGAAGAAGAAGGAGTAGGAGGAGGAAAAAAGAAAGAATCTAAAAAAAAACGTGTGGTCTCAAATACAAACTTGAACCAATTATAAAACATCTGTAATCAGTTTTAGATTTAGACCTTTTAAATGGTACTACATCTGGACAGGATACTCTAAAAGATGTATACTTTTCCATATTTGTGTACGTGTTGATAAAATGTTCTACGACAATTTTATATACATACATTTCAGTTTTGTTCAACGATCATTATCTTTTCTTGCCATCTTAAAAGTGATCAATTAAAAAGAGCAATAATGAAGATCGTTGTATAAATTCGCTGATAATCCTAAAACTGGTTCCGAAAATAAAATTTCAAAATTGAGTTTACCCATGTTGCCCAGCAAAGTTAATTATTATTCATTTATGTTATGTTATGTCCATTGCTATTGTTTCTGGTTCAAGCGATTATGTTTACTCACACGTTGTCTATATAACCATCTATGTTGCACTTGTATTGCACATACTGGCTGTGATATACGCTTTACCATTCCTTGTCATCTCACAATTGTTAAAAATGAATTAGTAACAGAACAACGTAAGGCTTTTAAAGTTATGTAATCTTGCTCATTACAATTGAGATCCCATCAGAAATCTGGGGCATAAACTTACAATGAACGAGGAAGTTAATTGGAGAATAGATCGCTGAAATCTGAAATTTATTATAATGGAAGAAAATATACCAAGATGACACTTCCAATAGCACAAGTGTAGTTATTTGTCATTGAAAAAGAGGATTTAAGTATTTTCATTTCGTTTTATTTTGTATCACCTGTTTATAGAATGGCTATTTGTGCTTGACTGCAGATCAATTAATTGCCACAATCATCTGTCCATGAAATAATCTAGAAGTGTCATCATAACTAAAAACATGTATAACCATATTTATTCGAATATCTGTTTATTTATCGGTTTCTGTTACACATATTAATAAGCTTTATGAGCAGCTTGAATCGAACACGATAACTTCAAAATTTGTAAACGATCGAAGACGCAATTGATATCAAATATATTCATAGTTTACGTTAATGTACCTAATTTAGTTTTCAATCATATCATGCTCAAAATTATCTTCCAATTCCAACTTTATCTCTAAAATAGTATCGCTTAAAATATGCTGCTGTTGAAAGTGCATTTTGCTATTCTTCATTATGATTTCATATTAATGACATCTATTCCCTTATTACTACGACTGATATATTTTGGCAGGATTGGAGTGAAAAACTTCCAACATCACGAAATAATGGTTCAGCTATACAGGAAAACAATAGCAAGGTACAGTTCAACTTTGATCCGTTTCATGTTTTATTTTATTCTGATTTGTAATCATTATTTTGTTATTGTTGTAATAGTGTTTTGTTTTCGTTTTTGTAGAATGTGAGAAAGGGTATGTGTGCTTCAAAACACCCACGGAGTACATCCGTCAACCGTAACAAAGAAAATGGACTTTAACATGCACATTAATACTTACAATTACCTGTTTGTTCATGTGTGATGAGCATCATACTACGCCATGATCAGCTCCAGTGCCCTGGGAATGCTTTTTTTCTGTAGAGATGTTGCACATAGAGAAGCAATGTCCCACCTCTAGCTGGCGGGGATATATGCTGGGCACAAGTCCGAACATCCTCTTACAAAGAAGATAAGAATAATCACAATTTCAGGGGTGCTGCACCACCGGCTTGCAAATGTATGGACAATCCCTAGATAAATAACCTCACAGAATGCTGAATGTGCCGACAAAGCTCTATAATACCCATCACAATGGGCACCCCCTCCCATCTGGCTACCCATAACCAGACAGTGTGTAATGTTTTTTAAACGCCACTTTATCTGAGAGAGCTGCACTTTCTAGGTATATAATGGCATCGACCTAACTCGTTCTGCTTTGATACTTCTTTATAGTATCTAAAGTACATGTGTGAACAGACTTAATTTTTGCATGGCTTTTAAAAAAATCCTTCACCGTGATCACACAAGCATTTATTTGCATGTAGACCTTCTGCATCTTAACCAAAGTTTGTAAACTGGATGACAACACTGTATTTCAATAATATGCATCAACAACACATTTGACTTTCATTATAGATATTCTAGCCCCCCCCCCCCCCTCATGTACATTGTTTTTAAAGAGACACCTTTTGAACGGGTGTCGAGGTTTGTGTTTTTTTTAAACCTGATTTGCAAGCATATTATCCGAATATTTTCCGACACCCGAGTATCAAAAAAAAGGACTCTCTCATATGCTGCAAAAGATTAAAAACATGAACCCCTCAACTCCACCTTCTCTTTCACGGCCACCCCAAGGTGATAAGTGACCAGTTGATGATATCATCTATACTGCATAAGGCCACTTTTAAATCAAGAAAACACGAAATATATTTACATTACTTCGATACATACTATCTGTAGCCACTATTTTTATTGATGACAATATCCCTGTTTTGTTCAATGTTTCTTGACATTATGTGAATTATCATCGACCTGAACAACAATCCGTCTTGTCGATAACGCCATTGAATCTCATCTTATCGAGAAATAAAAGCAATGAAACGTCCTTTTAATCTCTTATTATTCTCTGTAGCACATGGTTGTTCAGGAGAGTGAGAGTATGGTATTACAACCCCTTCGACCTACACCATGGAGTACTACAGGTTAGATTATATATTTTCGTCACATCACAATTTTCTATCTCACCCCCACCCTCACACCCCCAAGGGTCCCCCTTCTCTCTCTCTCTCTCTCTCTCTCTCTCTCTCTCTCTCTCTCTCTCCTCTCTCTCTCTCACTATCTTTCTTCCCTCTCCATTCGTCCCTCTCTTTTTACAAACGCACCAATGCACACACATTCTCTTTCTTGTTTCTTCTCTCTCCCTCTCCCTCTCCCTCTCTTTCATATCTCTCTGCACAAACACATTCTCAATCTCGTTCTTCTCTCTCTATCAATTTCTGTCAATTAATATTACTCTCTGTCTGGATTCCTTTATCACCCCCCCCCCCTCTCTCTCTCTCTCTCTCTCTCTCTCTCTCTCTCTCTCTCTCTCTCTCTCTCTCTTCCCTCTTGTCCTATTTGTACACCTCTTGGTTTATCTACAATAAAATATCTTCTTGTTTTTTTTTTTTTTACTTATGAACAGAAAGTTCATGCTAGCACGGACCCCTGACTGCTTCGCAAAATGACGACCACAGCAATCAGGACAAATCAAACTGTTCGGATGTTTTTACAAGTTGTAAAAACACAACATCCAACATGATTCATGTGAGAAGACCGATGGGAGACAAACAAAACGACGCTATATCCACGCAGAGCTATCTTATGCAACGAATACGGAGAATAAAGAAAAAAAACTCGAACTTCAAGACACACCGTCGAGAGTCATCATTGTTTTTCCCAGATGCCCGTCATTGGACGAATCGAAATTTTTCGACATTAAACGGGTGATTTCTTCTAGATAACAAAACATTTCGAGTTCTGCTGTTATCAAACATTAATTTGAATAACCAGAAAGAAGTTGTGTGGTGTTGACAAGCCACATTTCTCTATTCTTCGGTTCACCGCAGGATATCAGACATTGTTATTTCTCGATCGAAATTCTGTTCGAGTTACCGGTATACCGGTATTGCATCACGTTTCTGCGATAATGACCTTGACATGTACATGACTTTGATGGAATGAAATCATAATCAAATCAGTATTTTCTATTCAGATTTGCTTGAAATAAGTTGAAATACATCCATCCACGAATCAGATGACAATCTTGAGATTCTGATAAAGCACAAACAGCGTGGTGAATAGTCAGTTTAAAGAGGGCTTTTTTTTTACAACTCTTAGGACATCTTGTCTCACAACTCAATTATTTGGTCATGCAGCGTCATTAAAAAGACAGAAAATAATTATAACCAGTGCTTGTTACGGATAAGCGAGGAGAAAGTAGTCATGTGAATATCCGTTTCGACTCCTTTTGACGCCAAAATATTACTATCATAAAACACCACATGCTGTTGATGGACAATGCTTTTTCATATTGTTAACGGTGAAAACCGTTCATATATATTCATGAATTATATAATCAACAAAAAATATGATGCAATATAATTATGTGCGTTGTATTTTATTTCCTTTTTATCAAAATATGAATAGTTTTATATCGCTAATTATCGAATCTTCGGTGACGTTTTGTGTGTTCAATTCTGCTTTACCTTCATAGTTGTTTTCAAATTCTGCAATGATTATGAGAGTCTTATAGAATGATAACATTTGTCTGCTTATAATGTGATATATATGTCTTTCTACGATCATACTAAATGTCTTATGAAGGCAGAAAGAACGAGGCATTACAACTCCTCAGGGAGGTTTTATTGAAAAAAGGAGATGTGGGCCAATAAGTTTCAAGTATTTAATATTCATTCGAAGAAATATGAGCCACAGATATTTGAATGTTTCCCCTATAAAGTTTTAACCCCAAGGCCTAGACACAGGCTTCAGCTTTGAGTTTTAAAGTTACTGCGTCTGAAGACAAAAATGATAGCCGCCTATTTAGAAGTATGAACTTTATTTTCTGAAAACACACCCTAATGGGAATGCCTCTGTCACATTTTAGGGATCAGTGTTAAATGTTATTTTCCATCAGGTACGGATAATCACTCATATATAATCAAAGGTATATGTGGGCAGATCTGCATGTAATTTGATATATTGTAATTGAAAGTTAGGTATGAGTTTTGTGCTGGTAACTACCCCTTACTCTCATGGTTTATGATCATAAATGTAACGGAAAGTTTAATTGCAAGTTTATATCAAACTGGAGATTACTGTACAGTATGGTTGTTTTTCATTTACTTCAATATTTTCATCTATCAGGCGGGCTCCTGATATCGATTGTGAAAACAAAATTAATAACTAAAAATGGCGGATTTATAGCAGTATACCGAAGTCATTATGTTCATCTACTCGTATGTCATGTATTAATGTTTGATGCGGTTTGTCGAATAAGGTTCTTTATAATTTATGTAGAGAAACGTTTTCTGTATTCTTAAGGGGCATTTTAAATGTTACGCAACTCGCCCTTACTACGACCTTAACTTACAGGAAACCTCACCCCAAGAAATAACTTAAGTCATTCTGAGAGATTCATCGTATTCTCGCCCATTACTCTATAAGATTCCCCATTGAAGTGTATGAGAGAGGTATAAAGCAAGAATAATCTACAGTTTCTCAGCATGACATGGGTATCGCCATTTGCTTGATAACGTGACGTACTATGCGATGTTGTTTATCAAGTAATTTTTTAAAAATGTGCTTCACCCCAGGTGTGTATGGTGATGAAGTGTTTTATTTACCTGCTAATTTCTTTTGTAATTTTTAAGACGCAATACAGAAATTACCTGGTTCTCTTCATTTTGCATAAATTGATTAGATTTGTCAACTGCAATATTTATATGAGTTACAATTTTCCTCTGTTATATATTTTTCATCATGTATAATTTTTACTTTCTCAGCTATGATTTTCCCCTACTTGAAAAGCAAAGTTTTTGTTATTGAATTCAAAAGTCTTTCCAACAAAAGCTTTGTGCATGTACACGTTCGTTTGGTACGTCACCTCATCACGAGAATGACTGCGCCCATGTCATGCTAAAATACATCACATCATGCCAAGGATATCTTTATTTATAATATATCTTGACCACTTTCCGCTTAAGGAATATTGTTCATCAGAGGGCAGGAATGCATCTCATTTTTAAGCATACCTACACTTATTTTGGGCGGTGAGGTTTCCTTTAAACGAAAGCGAATTTAAAATCTCTCTTTTTATGTACTTGGTTACATATTACATGACTACAGATCCTTGATATATTTCATCTGCTGCAATACTAAGATGAAACGACCAATAATTATACTTCCATTGCTTTTCCTACTACTACTACTACTACTACTACTACTACTACTACTACTACAACTACTTTAGTAGTAGTAAGAACTACTACTACAACAACAACAACAGTGAAGTAACAACAACTACTACTACTACTACTACTACAACAACAACAACAACAACGATTATTACTACTTTTACTACTACTACTACTACTACTACTACTACTACTACTACTTCTACTACTACTACTACTAGTACTACTACTACTAGTACTACTTCTACTACTACTACTACTACTACTACTACTACTACTACTACTACTACTACTACTATGCCTACTACTACTACTACTACTACTACTACTACTACTACTACTACTAGTGCTACTACCACTATTCCTATTACCACTACTACTTCCACTACTAAACCTACTACTACTAATAGTAGTAGTACTACTACTACTACTACTACTACTACTACTACTACTACTATTATTACTACTACTACTATTACTACTACTACCCCTACTACTCCTACTACTAATACTACCATTACTACTACTTCCAATACTACTACTACTTCTAATACTACTGATGCTATTACTACTACTTCTATTCTATTACCAATTCTTCCACTACCACTACTACTACTACTTCTACTACTACTTCTACTAATACTACTACTACTACCACTAATATACTACCACTACAACCACCACCCCTAATAATAATATTACTAATAATAATTATATTATTAATACTACGACTTTTACGAGGACGACTACTAGTTTTACTACCACTACTCTTACGACGACAACAACGTCAATAACTTCCGTTCCTACTACAACGATGATGACAACTACTGCTAATTCTACTACTACTGCTGCTACTGTTACTAATACTACTACCTTTACTTCTATTACTACATCTACTCTAACGACTATTAGCTTCAACTCATGAAATTACACAAACTAATAATTCATACTAAAATATAAAACTCATCTTACTGCTGTCCAATTTTATTACAATTACTATCCTTACTATCATTGTCACTCTTACTCTTAATATTATTACTTTTACTCTTACTATAACTATCATCAATATCAAAGGAAACCAAAACATTCATACCAAGTTATTTTTACTGTAAAGTTTAATGAATTCAATAAAAACAAGGAAAATCTGGAAAATAATGGGCAAGGAATAAGGAAATTGAAGCTTTTTTTAATATATAGCTTGTCACTAGGAGGGCGACATTTAATTTGATGACATTTTTATTGACACCTCTTCGTGCTTTTTGTCCATGAAATTGCACAAGTCTGTTTTTTTCTTTTATTTCACTTTTGTTCTCGAACTAACTTCACTAGATGTCCAGAAGAATATAATTCTGCATACCATATTTTATTTTCAGGGGAAGAGAAACTGCTTTAGAGTTTCTCTTCCAGAAAGAAGGAAAAAACTGAAAATGTTTGTATAAATGACATGGAGAGTTGTCCGTCTGTGATGATGTCATCACATTCAATGTGATGACATCATTACTACTACCACCATCACCACCACTACTACTAATACCACCAATACCACCACTAATAATACTACCACTTCTACATTTAGTATTACTTGTTCTACTATATTGTGATACAACTGAAACGTGCTTAATGAACATTCAGTGATCTTTCGCTCTTGCAAGTTTCACAAAACAAAGAACTCATCCCGTCTTAATTCTACGGAAGAATTTTTTTTTCCTTCTTTCTTTTTTTTCACTTAGGTTTGGTAGCTTTATTCTTCTTTTTGGTGAAAAGGTAATTAAACATTTTTTTTTAGTTTAAGGGTCTTTATTTGTTTGTTTCTTTCTTTCTTATATGTGTAAAGATATTTTGGATTTGCTTTTGTTTTTGAACGATTTTTATTACCTAATAAACTATAATGGTTAATGATTATTCAATTATGAGTTGCTCATCTTACACGTTCTTTCCTTTTATAAGTTTATGTTTTTATTGTTTATATTATTCTGATGCTCTTAGCTACAATTTTCGCACGTACGAATATGCTTCAAACATTATTTATCATATACGCCTTATTGTTGTAATTCAAAACATCCATGTCAAGATAGAGATTGGATCGTTCGCTATATATATATTTTGATATGTGTGAAATAACATATTTGGGGAAGACATCACTTTTGAGTGATGTAGAAATCTCATGGAAATTCGATTCAGGGTCGAATTTAGGATGTAAAGCCGCGAGAAGGTGGTGAGTTGACACAAGGTAGTGAGTGTGTGGATAGCTTAAAAAGATACAATGTTGGGGCTGAATTTCTATGTGTAAATTTACAATTTAGTTAATACCTTTCTAACCGCCATGTGTATATATGTCGATTTCTGAGGAGTAATGCAAACATTATTCTATGAAAATGCATGGCTGAAGAATTGTCGTCGAAAAAACCTATTTGAATTTGTATCGCTATTATTATTATCGTTTGTAACAGTAAAACTAGAGGATACATGCATCAGTACTTGATCACTCAATTATATGTCCCTTTGACGTATCTTTAGTTCAAAACATGGGAAACGATTTTCTGTCGTTCATTTAAACTAAGTTTCAAAAGTAATTTGATTAAGGTAGCACCTGTTTGTAGTTTACCGTGATAATCGAATCGTATAGTTTATGTCATCTTTGAATGTTGAATAATTACATGTGTTTTATTCTAAAATTTTATTTATGTTTTAAAATGTTAGAATTCGTTTAATGTTTAATAGACAGATATCCCGAAAAGAATTATCAGCAACGGTAAACCTTTTCGTATGCAATTACTCTAAATGTTTATTATGTATCATACTTATCGAGGTATGAGTATATATAAAGATATTTCATGAAAATTTTCTCTTGAAAATAAAAAATAGATAGAATCTATCAATTTGTATCTAAATATATTATATCATATGCCCGAATTAATGTATTGCAAGCATACCTTTCAAATTCGTCATTAAAACAAATTATTGAGTTCGTCTTTGTAAGAAAACTCTATAGAGCCTCATTTTTTTAGTTATTTCGTTTTTCATTCTACATATTCATCTGTTGAATAATATTATATTTTTTTATTATAAATCGTCAGCGTCACAAAGAAACGATCATCTTCCATCCACTTCTCTTACAACACACATAACTTTGATGACATGAAATCGAATGCTTCGGATCGATCTTTCTTCCATCAAACATGTTTCAGACTCTACGCATTCCATAACCACTATTAGGATGATGCCAATAAGCTAAAAGGCTAAATCATTAAAAGTTTCTTGTTTCCTCCTTCTTTTTATTTTCTTTTTATGCCCGCCTCGATTTCCTTTTCAGATCTTTTCTTCTTTTCCCCCCTTTTTTGTCATTTTATATTTGTATGTTCTGAAAACTAAATTTAGACAATGGAGTTGACAAAAGTCATTCAATTTCATCTGTTTTCAGCCTCTGCAGTGCATATATACAAAATACAAATTTGAAATACCACTGATCTGTGTCGAAATTAACGGAGCAGCATTTCTTTACAGAAAAATATCAAATATAAAATATTATGGAACCCCATTTTCAAAAATATCGGCTGATAAATTCGGAATCGATTTTACTTGGCAAAATGACACAAGATTTTCCCTACTCATTCCGAATGTGATCATATCAATAATTGTCACAGTAATCAAAGAATCGAGAAACGGATTTAATAGTGTTGAAACAGATTTTATTTTATATTTTATCGGAGAGAAAGTAAAGTTTCATACTTTAACAAAGTAAATTTAACACTTTACTATTTGTTCTTCAGACTTTAGTTACTCATTACAAAAGATCGTTTTCAGAAGAAGGATTGTGCCATTATAAACAAATCAAACAACCTACATTTCTGTTTAAAGCCAAATAATAATAATATAAGAGATAAATTGTGTTATCGCAATATGTAAGTAAAAATTCGAAGGTAAGCAATGAGAGAACTATTAAAGCACAAGGACTTGCTGACAAGAGTTGGTGAAACAAGAGCTCAAAAATTACTTTGTTGTACTTTTCATAACATAAGTTATATTTAACTAAAGGTTACATCAAAAAATTATTATCGTATTTAGTATGAGTTTAACATCTTAATCCTGTCAAATAAAGCAAAAATCCATAGGTCCTAAAGGTAAATTCAGTGTAATTTAATAGATAAAAAATAATCTAATAACGAAGACGTAGATTGTTTTAAACCTTGTATCTCAAATCATGAGCGCTTTACAAGAACCCACTATTATTATTATTATTAAAATAATGTCTCAACACAATTATTATACGATGTATATAGAGTTACATGTTTATATATTTTTGGAAAATGTCTATAGTATCTTGTTTTTATTTAATCATCTAATGTTTTCAAATTTAAAGAGATCCAACAGCATGTTATTTTCCATTTCAGTTCATCACATGAAAGTTATTAAACTAAGACAGATTACATTACTTTAATAACCATCCGTAACCACATACCTTAAAGTGCTCTACCAAACTACACCAAGATAATTAAGACTTCATTATAATTTCTTAAAATACCCACGACGTGGCAGTACGTATACAGTCGCCCATAGCTAGTAAAGGCAATGTTGTGAAACGCGTACACGCGCTCATAGGTTCATGGAGCCCCCATAACTTATTTGAGAGAGAAAATTGTGACATGAGCATAATACGCGAGAGCCTCCATAGCTTAAATAGTTCCCTCCTATGCACAATCTCTATGGAAGTGAACTTGGAGCTGCATGAAATGGCTGACCAATCAGTAACTATTTCCGCTGTCACGACTGTCTCTGAATCAACTAGATACGGGAGCTCCTAAATAGTTTCCTCCATTACGATTGAATGTGGGAGGGAACTATTGACTCCTCCCTCCTCTACTAGCTATGCAGTCGACCAAGCCTAAAGGCCCGATTCTTTCCTCACACATTTGTTGGCATTCACACACCATGGGTCAAGATCAAACTTAGGGATGGATTTATATGCGAAGCAGTCAGCTTTTGGGTTGGTGCGGTGATCAGCCCTACAAGAGAAATCAATGAAATTTGTTGTTAAATGTGTAGCAATTCTAAAGGTAGAGTGGACATCAAAAAGGCAAATTTCGCAACAATGGTATGTAATATAAAAAATAAACCTATGTTACTGCACAGATTGCGCTAAGTAACATGAAACATTATAGGGGCGTCGGTACATCTCGCTTTTTGATCATCGAATCGATGGTGTCGAGCAATAGGGATTCTAAGAAACGGGGGTAAAGCATAGAGGTGTCGGAAAACAAGGGGTACGATTAATATGTCGAAACTGTGTCGGAACATTGGGGTGTTGGAATATTAGGGTGTATGCCACAAGGGGAGCTGCAATACAGGGGTAACCGAGGATATGGGCACCAGGACATGAAGATGTAGTAACATCTCGTGTAGGAATATAGGGCGTCAGAAGGGAGGGGGGGTGTCCAAAATAGAGGACTCTGAACATAAGGAAAAAGATAGTCTGAATGTTTTACTTACAACTTGAAGACATTCTTCTGGAATGTGACAGGGTTGTCAAGGGTTTGACAAAGAACACGAGCCATAGTCATTTTGTCGATCACATCTCGTTGAGCTGTGTTAGGAAGGTAATGTAAAGGAACATCGGTGTGAAACACAATAGTTTGCATGCTCTCAGTATTGTAATGATTTTTTTTTTACCTTAAAGATACCAAATCCCTTTTGCAGCCAACATCGATTTCTGTAGAACTTTGCAGGAATTATTAATATATGATGTATGTCCTATCTGTGAAATTTAAACATTAGCAGTGTCCTGGTATTCAAATTATGCAAGGAAACCCGTTTACTTTCTAGACTTCACTGCCAGACACTATTGAGTGACTGACTGACATTTTTTTTTTTCTTTGGTAATAACATACATAAAATGAGCTGTAACAGAAGAACCCACTCCTTGTAATGGCCAAATTTAACTGATGGAGTCTTTGTGCAGCACAAAACGTACGACCATTCAGTAAAAGGGTCAGAAAATTAGTATTTAGTATTGTCTTTCAAATGTCGTTGGAATTTAACCTTTTCATGTTTTTGGCTTGCAATGGGACATAATATAGTACCTTTAATACCGGTATCCAATATCCCCTTTAAACTGGATATTATATTGCTGTTTGTTCCCAAACCATTAGTGATGTGATTCACCTCGTACACTTCGCGTGCACATCTCTATCAATTTATAACCAAATATATTGTAGAAATTGTAGCCATCCAAAAAAGCTTGAAGATACCACATAACAAGTGGTGGATCCAGGGGGTGGCACGAGGGGCATAAAAGCTCCCCATCCCTCCTTCCCTTCCGGCAAAGCAAATGAAGTACACTCCCGAATACAACGTGATATCTTTTGCTTGATTTCTCTTGTTTTCTTTTTAAATTTAGTAAGTTATATATTATTTCTGTAAAAGTATATTTTATTTGTTTACCTATTCATTTGTCTATTTAGATTTTAATTATTTATCTATCTAAATACCTACTTATTTATTAACAATAAAACCTGCATTAGGCACCACATGCATCTCATATCCACCTGCTTATGAAGACCAGTTTTCTGGTATACCTTCGTTCATCGGTCTTTATATCCAGGTTTCACTGTATTTATATATGTAATCATTGATTGATTAATACATTTGGTCAACAATTCTTAAAAGACCTTTACCACCCACCCCCCCCCCCCCCCCCCCCCCCATCAAAGAATGCTAGATTCGCCTCTGAATACTGGTGTACTGATGTAGATAATGAATTACCTTTAGTAAAAGCCTGTGGACCTTTAGGATTGAGATAGAAGAAACGATCTCCCTCCCGTAGACTCTTAAACTGACGACCGATGATACATGATAGAGTAGGGCCTAAAGTCCCGTCCTTGTTGGCCGGTTTCTCGGCGACGAATCCCACGAATGGGTCGATGAGTTGCACATCAGCATTTCTAGGGATGTTAAGGTTTTTTTTAAAGATAATAATTTTCATGTTAACCCCTTACAGGACAACTAATCAGTGTCATCTGATTCAGAGTAATACTAGTATACTAGATGCATGAAAAGAAAATGGCAGAGCTTTCTACACACATTGTATCCATTTTTTGCATGACCAAATTGCGTTTGACGCCAAAGATTCTGAAGGGAAATAAACTGTAATGTACTTAAAGGTACTATGTCCCATTTGCAGCCAACCTCAAATTCTGTAGAACTTTGCAGGAATTATGAATATGTCATGTATGTCCTATCTGTGAAATTTAAATGTTAGCAGTGTCCTAATATTCAAATTATGCATGGAAACCCGTTTACTTGCTAGCTTCACTGTCATAATTGAGTGACTGACTGGCTTTTTTCTTCTTTGGTAATAACATACATAGAATGAGCTGTAAATGGCACATGAATATTTGTCTACATCAATAACCCACTTCTTGTGATGGCCAAAATTAAACTGATTGAATCTTTGCGCAGCATAAAACGTATGACCATTCGGTACAATGGTCTGAAAATCAAGACTATTACTTATCGGCTCTATAGCTCCTAAGTCGATTTGACAACTAATAGTCGTTATTTTCCCACTTGAAGATATTTTCAAGCCCCACCTTTTTTAGGGAAGTTCTAAATTAGTATTATCTTTCAAATGCCGTTGGAATTTAACCTTTTCATATTTTTTTTTGGCCTGCAAATGGGACATAGAACCTTTAAATTAGCAACAATATGGGACTCAATATCATCGTTAATCGCGTTTAGCGTACAAAATTGGCAATGTTTTTGTTAACTTTTCAACATAAAGCCCATAACCATCCATATCGTGTTCAGAGACAAGTCATTTTATTAAAACCATTTAGTAAAAGAGAAATATATAATTGTTGCCCATTTGAAGAAGAAAGGTTACTCAATTTAACTCTTTTAAATTCCTGTTGCTCTGTTAGTGTAGAACTATTGTTTGACTAACTCATCCATACGTGTATATGGAAAACAGCAACCTAAACACGAGCTTTCATTGCTTGAGCACTTTATCATGGTAGCTCGGCTATTAAAGCCGGGTGCTAATATAAATGCATGGCCTTCAGGAAGAACAGTCTTGATACTGATGAGGTTACCCTGGGTCACCAAGACATATTATCATTATCATTATCATTTTCATTATTATTATTATTATAGTTTTCAAGTTAAAATACTTATCTTAATGGTTACATGTCTATGGTTATTACCTACATGAAACGGGGTGAAAGTTTTCACAGTCTTCCCCGATAAAACAAAATCATTAAATGTTTCCTTGAATCATGATAACTTCCTGAAAAGTCTTGTTTTTGTGGAAATGGAAGCACTATAAAACTTACTCGTTGCCGTATGTTTTCTTGAGTTTAGCAATGGTATCTGCGGTCATTATCTTCTTAAGATCAGACCATTTTGTGATCGGCGACAGACCGCAGTATTTTCTCCAGCGATAGTAAGGTTGGATGCCGTTATCTCGACCACGGAGTATGTTGAGGGACAAGAGATCGAGACCAGTTGCATCACTGAATCACGGAACGGGTGAAAAGAGAAGTATAAGATTAATTTTGATTGTTACAAGCTTGTAAGGCACATACCGTACACCCGATCGTAAAGACTTTCGAGAAATCAACCCAGGCAATGTCAACATGGTTCTCCATCACCTCTGGAAATGTACGAACATTACAATGTCATTCAAACATGATTTGATTGGATATACAGATGTGCTTTTCCTTCGCCTCGTACTATTTTTCCTCTCACTTTTCTCACTCGGTATTGTGAACCCCGTACCATCTGCCAGGGCTAAGGGAATCTACGCTGTTCTCATTCGAAATCGTTAACCCCTAACTATGTCTGATTTGATACGGCTTTCCCGCCTTCACGGGTTAACACCGCTATCCTAAGCTCCCGACTATGTTGACTTCTCTTGAGCTGTTAGCACCTCATTTAAAGAGACCAGCATTGTCGTGCTAACCCTGTTTCTTTTCCGGGGCCACATAATCACAACCTTTCGGTGGGGCTAGCCAAATTTGGTAAAGCGAAGTTGCGTTAAAAGTTTGAAATGCATCAAAATGAATTAAAATCGATCTTTAGCTAAATTCTCCAAAGTCTTAATGGTCGTATTCGTGTAAAATGATACATAAATGCTATACTTATTTGTGTCTCTATCTCAAATTTTCTTTTAAACGTACGCAATTGAAACGAGGATTCATTTTAATTGTATTAGTACCGGTATTAGTACCATTAAAGCATTTAAAGGAATTTAGTGCCCGCACCAACAATTCAAAGATAAACTTGCACTATTCACTTTGCATACACTGCTCGCATGCGTGTTTGCAAGAGGAAACTCTCACATGGAGTGAAAAAGAACGCGAAATTCCCTGCCGTAGTCCCTGCCGTAGTCCCTGCCGTAGGTCCTATATGTCAGCAAACTGACTCGTCCAGTTCAAGGGGTATGATACCTCAGACACACCAATGAGACTGACTTCATACCCACTCACTCGTGGCCATTTGTCGTAATGTAAATTGTGGTTAAATAGATTTTGTAGGATATTTCCAAAGTATGTATATTTTTTTGAATTCGCACCGTACAGGTCCAAGGAGACATTTCTCTGGGTTATTTATCGAATGTTTAAGTTCAAAATTCTTTTATTTCCTTTTTACAGATTGTTTAACATAAATAACATGACAAAAAATCATTTCTGAAAAGAAAGACTTAATACCATTGTATTAAGTCTTTCTTTTCAGAAATGAATTTTTGTCATTAGTCTCATTAGTCTCAGGAAATAATAATTAAACATTACTAATGCCAATATAAACATTCACATGTTATTGCCTTCGTGATTATAGTTTTTTTAATATGGCATATACAAATAGCTTTACTAGCATATTATATACCCCAAAACTTACTTGAATCACTTTATGATAAGGTCATTGAAGAAGAAAAAAATGATAAAAACATACAACATACAGAAGTATACTTACTCGCTCTCATCAGGGTTGACAAAGAGCTGGTTTAGTAGTGTTTGGCTGAAGAAACGGTCGATTTTACGAGCAGTTTGTCTGATCATTCCCTGCATAAACCCGTCAATACCGCCCTGCAAATTTTTAGAATAAAATTACATTTCAAAGTACTAACGAGCAAGACCCGAGAATGAAAGACGAAGTTCTCGATTTGGGGATCTTTGCAACTACAGTCCAAACTATAGGTTATGATTATAGGTTTCTTCAGATATGGCGTGGCGAACCGGGCCAATCTGGGATGGTCTTTATAGATTGGTTTGACTGTAAAATGGGCAATCGCCCCCTAACCACCTCCCACATGTTGTCCTTGGAAAGAGCATCAGGATTTGTATCGTCATATAGAAACTTTTTTCTTTCTTCAAACGTATCTACAAACGTTTCGACGCGTTTAAAACCAAGGTTTTTACAAACCCAGGTTTAAAACGCGTCGAAACGCGTCATAAATTATGACGCACATAAACCTAGGTTTGCCGAGAAACCTCCTTTGTGAATTCAGGCCATTAGGTTTACCACATCCCAAGTTCCTTCGGTACCTACTCTTCCCACAATATTTCTGAAAGAGTTGTAATGTGTAGGCGAGTTAGCTCAGTCGGTAAAGCGCCTGCCTGTGGAACCAAATATCGTAGGTTCGAATCCAACCCAGGCGGATAACTGAACCCTTCGTCGTGAACTGTGACGTGCCCCCCTCCCCGTTTCATAGACACAGGCTATATGTTACAGTGAAGAAAAAACACTTCGTCACTCGGATAGGACGTTAAACAAAGGCCCCTTGTAGAGGAGAGTCACAAGCTTTACACGCAATTAACCTACTGCACTATTTGTATAAGAATAGGGGAAACCCCTGCGTAGTGGTTGATCTACCTTCACATCCCAATCAGTTATACCGGGAAGAGAGATCCGAGGGCTACTAATCACGTTAGTACACACTTGCGACTGCTTTTAATCAATTCCAACTTTTCATAGGACGGGGTCATGGATCTGAATGCCCCTGTAAAGAGGTTTTTGTGGCGGGGGAGGGAGGTGTTGGATTTTGCTTACCAGTACAATAATATTGCTTAGGAGAGATGGTCAAATTGATTCGAGTTGGGCACAATATCGCGAATACAGCTTTGTTGGGTAAGGACAAAACAAAATTCTATACGCCATGATGTGACCAACTGAAACCCCTTTGGCCAAACCATGAGGGTATAGATGGATCTGTTGCTTACGTTTGCGACGTCATACATGTAGAAGGCGTTGAAGAATGCCTTGGCAATGGGTAGGGGTTCTAGAGGGATATCATCACCCTCTGCATTGACTTGATATCGGTAAAGACTATCATCTACAGCGCTGTGCCCCTGACGAAACCCTGATGTTGCGAACACGTTCGAAATAGACGGGTTGATGCTGGAGTCGTACCCCGAGTAACGCAGTCCGATATACTCTGCACGGATATTGAGGAAGGGCATATAATTGAAATGGATTGAATTTATTTCACATCATTGACATAAGTACATCAATATTTGTTTTTATTAACGCGAAAAAAAGAAGAAAAGGAAAATATTTACAATTTGTATACATTTCAAAAAACAAAATACTAATATAACAACAATATTTCACTCATCGATCTTACCCATTAAAAAATCTCACATCAATACTATGAATTTAAAAAAAAGTTTGCTTTAGGCTGAGGACGACATCTTCATTACCTACTTTAATTATGAAATAGGACCTTTGTTAAAAGTATTATGTTTTGTTATTTGAGTAAAGGGCGGCAAAATATTTGTTATGTATCATCACATGTCACACTAATGAAAAAATGTTGTGTGTAGAAAATGTGGAAGACTAAAATATTGAATCTTGAAACTTGATTTGAAATAGGTAATGTCAAATTTAGCAAGAAAAGCGAGGAATGTGCATAACCTTCAAGAATAAGAAAACTCTCAGCACTTTCGTTGTTTACTGTTGCAAGAATGAACTTTCCACAATTAGGAATAGACCCTTGTTTGAAATAATCATTCTGATGAGGTATTTACATACTTTTGTATTCCGCCTTTCCCAAGAGAGTGGGAAGGTATTCATTGTAGGTGATAGCCTGCATGGTGGCGCCCACAATCTTCCGAGCCTCTTCGAATACGCGATCACTGTTGCGAGCCCACCCTGGATTCCTACTCTTCAACCCCTCGGCGATCTCATTGTGCAGACGGACGAAGATGGTGTGAAGACTTGTCAAACCCGGCTGTTCGTTGGCACGAAAATCACCCGCCTCTCCGCAGACGATGCCGAGTTTTTTGTCCTCACCGAAGCAGTTGCCGCTTTCTTCTTGATGGTGGGGAAGAAGGGCACCCCGGTTTTCATCCTCGGGGAACTCTTGAACTCGTAACCGACCAGACCCAATGGCGAGCTCCTTACTGGTTAGCCCTGTAATGATAATTAGATAGAATATGGTAATTAAACATTATGATAATTATTATTCGCCTATTAATGTTTCTCATTTTATTTTGAACTCGATTATTTTTAAATAAATTTGAATTGAATTGTCTTCCCCGTATGCATAATAACACACCCACTATTTAAAATATGTAAATATAATTTAACAACATTTTACAACAACTATAAACGGAAAGATGAAAGAAAGGTGAATCAATCATGTTAAGGTGATTTAGTGGATAAGTGTCTGGACTATGAAGCACAACGTACTGGGTTCGATTCCCTACCATGCAACTAACGTCCTTTGGCAAGACATCAATCTGCATATTTTGTCAAGCTCTACCTAGATAAGGTGAATTGAAACATGGCAGGAATGTATTCCTTAGAAGCACGCCGCCGTAAGAGCAGCCATGCCAAAGCTGGGCTAAAATTGGTGAAGCGCCAGGAGTGCCAAGAGTGACGGACATGAGCGCTGTACAGGAACCCACTATCATTTTTATAATTGTTGTTATTTATTCTTATTGTTATTATTGTTATTGTACCTATCATTATTATTATTATTATTGACCTATTGTCATTATGTGGACGCTAAGGAAAACTGACCGGACTGCGGACAATAGCATGAGTCCATCTTCTAGATAAACTTAGAAGCGTAGACATCAGAAAGTCATTGAAAATCTCCAAGACAATAAATGAGGATATATCCAACCGTCGCCTGAAATGGTTTGGACATGTGGCACGTATGCCACAGGAACGCCTACCAATACAAGTCCACACCAATGACTTTACTTTGCCATGGCCACCAGGACGTCCTCCCTCGAGGTGGACAGACCAAATTCGCTGACACTTTTGTGCAGTATTTTTCACGTTGTTAATATGTCATTTTCAGTTTTACCGTCTTAACAGTTTCCTGTACAATCTTTCATAGTTCATCAATTTCATTCGAAAACCTCTAGAAGATTAACATACTCTACAATGCATAATGATCTATAGATAGACTAAAGCGGAAATTTAAGCAAAATAGCCAAAATGAAACCCATATTTCAAGATCAAAATAATGAATGAGATTATCAAAAAAGATTTTTTTAAATTGTTTGGAGATGATGAAGACTGATGATAAAAGATCCCCTTGCTGTATTCAGAATTATAGAGGTGTCGTCATGAAGTGGTTCATTCCCTAGTCTCTCAATTCAAGGGTTATGAGTTCAAATCCCAACCCGGCAATAATGTCCTTTAAGCATGACATCAATCCACATTTGCCACTCTCTACCCGGGTGTAAACGGGTACCTGACCATTGATGGGTAATGTCAATTGCAGGGCCCCCAGGCAGAGCAGTATTCATACCGTCGAGGCTACCCTGGGCAAATAAGACCCAATTATAAATAATCATTTATCATGATAAGGATGTTACAAACCTGGCACAGAGCGAAACCTGAGATATTCTACCTCTCCTTCCGTTGATCCGTACACATTAGACGCATCTATCATAGCTGTGATTTCATTGAACTGTTCTCTCGCTTTACTATCACCGCAGTGAGCGAGGGTCCGGGGCACCTCAAAACATACCCTGTCCTTGAAAACTGGGTCATTGCCCGGAACTTGAAGCGGGAAGCAGGAGGAGTTCAGAGTCCCACAGTCACAAGGCTCTGAAGAAAAACATTGTTTTCATAAAGGTCACTTGAAGAACAATTCAATTAAGGGTAAAGACCAGTTATGGTCATGCGATTGAATTGTGGAATCGATCAGAAAAGGTTGATCATCTAGCATCTAGCATCTGCAAGGTTCTGGAATCATCAAAATGATAAGAAATTTGGCCCATTCTTCGTAAAGTTACAAGCACTATACACAGAAAGATGTATATGGGACTACCCTATATCTCTCACAGACCATGAGAGAAACAAATTTACCAAATATATGAATTAGTAGGCGGTTTCCCGGCAATTTTTTTATCATCATGTATTAGTCAAAACATATTCTTTCACATGATTGGTAATGAGAGCTTCCATTTAATTTTTTGAAATTGGGGCGTTTCCAATACTGGTCTTTACCTTTAAGGCGACATTTCTAATATTGTATGATTCCAAGCTGACGTAAAAAGAATGAAAAGCCCACCCTTTTTTACTTTCTCTGCAACCCATCTTTCTCTTTAAAACCCAATGTGAAATTCCTTCTTGACACAAAACATCAGTGAGCAATCCGTCCTTCGGAAAGGACGTTAAACAGAGGCCCTGTGTAGAGGAAAGTCATCATAATTCTTTTGTTTTTTATTCCTTGTCTAAATTCGATTTCCCCTGTTTTTGTTTTGGTCACCAGACACTTTTCGGAAATTTCTATTCCCCCCCCCCCCCCCCAATTTTTGTAACAGAATTCAGAATCCACCCCGGAGTATGACCCCCCCCCCCCCCTCCTTACCATGGGCAGCAGGGGTGTGTGTGATGTCGTGATCGGTGAACTGGCCCCAGTGCATGATAAGGATACTGACACCAGATTGTGCCTTGTCTTTGCTGCCGTCATCTGCATCGGCGAACGATGTCGATTCTTCACGCGGGGAGGAGTGGTAATTGCGAGGAAGAAAGCTTCCTGTAGATCAAGATGAACATTTTCAAATACATATTTATGCATTTTTATAATTCTACTATTATGCTGAGCATTAAATCAACATGTTAAAAATACATCAAAACCAAATGAAGAAATTTGTACACTGCCTATTATTATGGTAATATAAAAATGGATGTGTAGTTCAAATTTACTTTTAGTTTTGCCATTTTCTTTTTCTGTCTATGATCGATTTTTATGGGAAGTCCAAAAGTTTACGGAATTATTGTATTAATCATTTAGTTCAGGCGATTGCTGTCGTCAATAGTTTCAAAGGGGTTATACATTTTTGCCTATAGTCTTATAAAGGTTACAAAATATGCATTCATCAATTGCAGTTCATTCTGTTTCCTTGTCTAAACATGAGAGGAGAGGGGCAAATGTAGGTTGATGCCTTGCAAACATTTTTTTAAATTCGAATCTATAACAAATATTAACTTTATTCAAAATCAGTTGTTAGGTGTTTAAAATAATGATTTACCATGACCGCTGTAGTTCGCTGGTAGCCATCGGACTAGGGGTTCGAGAGAACTACCCCAGCTTGTATGTTCAAGGTTGTTACATGACCCGTTCATAGTACGGTAGGTAGCTCTGCGGTCACATGTAACGTCAGCATAACCGTGGTGGGTCGAGTGTTCGCAGATATCATTCATGTTGATCTGCATGTCGATGTCGATGCTGGTGATCGTAAATAAAATGGAAAAGTTTATTGGACATTATTTTGTATAGGTATTGTTGATTGTCGCAGGGATGGTCGTCATCATCATTATCATCACCAAAATCATCAAGATCATGATCATCAAAATCATTACCATTATTATCATCATCATCATCAATCATCATCATCATCATAATTATTATAATTATCATTTTCATTCTCATTCCGTCCCCTTCTCATTTTCATTCTCATCGTCATCATAACCGTCGTCATCGCCATCGTCATCGGCATCGTCATCAACACCTTCATCAGAATCATGGGCGTGGAATTTAGGAGAACGTTAACGAGGTGGGAAGGTGTTTCGGAGAAGTTTTTATAAGATAGATGGCCTTTTAAGACATCTGCCCAGTACACCGACAGACCATGAGAACGACAGCCCACAAGACCAATAACCCACGAGACCGAACAAGCAAAGAACTGGACACACTTCCAAAATGGTCTACGAGATCGACGGCCCTAGACACTGAGAGCCTCACACGAATAAGAAAACAAAGAAATTAATAAGGAAAGATAGAAAATGTAGTCGGTGGGCCGTCGCACAGTGGGCCAGGGAGGAACCAAAGTGCGCCAAAACTAAATTTGGGTGATTTATTTTTTTCAATTTTTTTCTTGCCCAGTTGAAAGGTAATACATAGAGGAATACCTCAGTGAAATATTTAATTCCGGTATGCACAATAAGGGTATAAATTTACTACTTCAAACTTCAAAATCCTACATATTCACAGCAGGTCCGCATGGAATTGGTGAAAGGAATGAACGAGGGGACAGATGGGTTCAGTGGTGTGAGGGGGAGAACATGGTCATCACTAATACTTGGTTCAAAGAACACCCTAGACGAATATACACTTGGAAGAGTCCTGGCGACATCGTCAGAAACCAGATAGACTATATTGCCATAAATAGTAAATTTAAAAGAGCAGTGAAATAATCAAAAACGTATCAAGGGGCTGACTGCGGGAGTGATCATGTGCCGGTGATATGTACACTTCAGTGCAAATTAAAGAAACTCAAGAGACCAAAAGTTGTGAAAATATTGGATTTTAAACAGTTGAGTAAACCGGACATTCGTCAAGAATTTACTGTACAAGTAAAGAAAAGGTTTAAGTTGCTCATAGATGAAGGTGAAGAAAATACGTGGGAGACGATGAGAAATATTCTGGTAGAAACAGCGGAAGAGTATATGCCGACGAAAGAGAGAAAAAGAAGGAACAAATGGATGACAGAGGAGATTCTTTTAATGATGAAAGATAGACAGAAAATTGGAAATAGACAATGCAAGAAATATAGGGACCTAGACAAACAAATTAGGCAAAAATGTAATGAGGCAAAAGAGAGCTGGCTAAACGAATAATGTGTAGAAATTGAAAATCAATTCGATAAGAATGGTAATGTTTACCAAAGAATAAATGAGATTTCAGGTAAAAAGTCTGGTTGTTCAAACCCTGGCTGTATCAAAGGAAAAGATGGGTCAATCCTGTTTGAAATGAAGTACAAAATGAGTAGGTGGACGCAATACATTGGCGAACTTTTTGAGGATAGTAGGGAAGCAATGCCGAGTTTTGCAGATAAAGAACAAAGCAGCTGGACCAGATGGTGGTCACTGAAATGTTTGAAGCATTAGAGGAATATGGTGTTGATAGATTAACAGAAATTATCAACAAAATATATGATGACGGAACATTTCCAGATGAATTGGGCAGATCCATTTTCATTACTCTCCCAAAGAAACCGGGAGCAGTAGATTGTGAGCAATATAGGACAATCAGCCTTATTTGGCATATCACTAAGATTATTTTGAGGATTCTGCTTTTGAGAGCAAGAAGTAGCATAACTCCCATGGTCGGAAGGGAACAATTTGGTTTTGTAAAGGATGCGGGCACAAGAAATACAATATTTGTGGTTAGAAATATAACGGAGAGAGCAGTCGAAATGCAAAAGGATGTGTACATGTGTTTTATTGATTATTCAAAGGCTTTTGATAAAGTAAGACATTCAGAACTTTTTAAAGAGCTGAAAAATCTTGATATATATATAGGAAAGATCTAAGACTGCTACAAAGTCTATATTGGAATCAGTTTGCATGCATCAGGGTAGAAGGAGATTGTAGTGAATATATCAACATCAGACGGGGAGTCAGACAGGGTTGTGTGATGTCGCCAGACCTGTTCAATATGTATAGTGAAATCCTTCTAAGAGAATTGGAAGATGAAAATGGGATACAAGTGGGTGATCATTCAATCACAAATATTAGATATGCTGATGACACTGTTTTATTTTCTGAATCAGAGAAAGATCTCCAGAGACTCCTGAATGTAATTGTAAAAGAAAGTGAGAGAATGGGACTAGAGATCAACTATACCAAGACAAAGTGCCTGGTGGTATCCAAGAAGAGCAGTCCAAAATGTAAATTGAAACTGAAAGAACAGACTATTAAACAAGTCTCCTCATTTAACTACCTCGGCAGCATGATTACCGATGATGCCAGATGCGAGACAGAGATCAAGAGAAGGATAGCTCTCGCTAAATCTGCATTTTCAAAGTTAGGCAAAATTCTGACAAATCGAACAATGTGTATGAAGACCAGAATAAGGGTATTGAATTGTTACATCTACCCAGTACTTATGTATGGAAGTGAAACATGGACTTTAGCCTCTGATACTAAAAAGCGTTTGGAAAGTTGCGAAATGTGGTTTCTAAGAAGAATGATGAAAATCCCTTGGACTGACAAAGTTAGTAATGAGGAAGTTCTTACACGAGCTGGAGTGCAAAGGAAAATGATACGTGAGATGTTGATTAGGCAGTTGAAGTTCATGGGTCACATTACACGTAAAGAAGGCCTAGAGAATCTTGCTTTGACAGGGAAAATTGTGGAAAGAAGGAGTAGGGAAAGAAGGAGGATACTTTGGATGGACAGTCTGCAGAAATTGTTGGAAGAGAGAGGGGTGAAAGAACTGGGAGTGGTACTAATACAGAAGGCTAGGAGCCCAGGGTTGTGGAACAGCTTGATCGCCAAAGTCAAACGATATGGCACTTAGAGAGAGAGAGAGAGATTCACAGTTTTAGTGCAAAAGTGACTTTTGTTATAAATGTATTCAACATGAAGTTTTTAAGTTATTGATATGAAATTGCTCTCACATATTCCTGATAGTTCATTTCTTTGAATGAATGGGTTAAAATTAATAGAAACACAATCTTCATGATATACACTGTTGGTCATAATGGTGGAATATTTATTTTTACCCCAGTTTAGGGAAGGATTTAAAAAAAAAAATTATTTCTAATAGATCTAGATAATGGCATACATTCTCAGATTTTATTGAATATTAATTTGCGAGTGTTTGTTTTGCGTGACTGCTTAATCATATGTGTGCTACTATGCTAATCAGCTAAGGGACCTACGTCCTTAAGTCATAATTGACAGTAATGGGGATTAATGCCTCACAAAAGGGCACTAATATATAGCTGATCGACACGATTTTTATCCTGGGGCCTCACAGTAACGAGGCCATTGCTTAGCCCCTGAATCATGATTGTACGCAGTGTTTGCTAGGGTACGCGGCCCCTTCCACAAATCCCCCAAAACGAAGAAAATGCAATAAATTGTCAAAAATTCATTGCATTTTCCCCCGGCCCCCAACAGGAAAAATTCCTCTGTAGGGCCATGCATTATGGTTCAAGTTTTCAAATTTAAGCGAAAATCCCTGGAAATCCAAACATTTCCTCTGGATTTATATGAGGAAACTTTTTTTTTGGGGGGGGGGGGGGTCTCGAAATTTGAAAATTTGACATTTTGCTCCGTTGGGGGGGGGGGGGGGGTAAGGTCAACTTTTTTAGGTCAGCCATTGGTATATATGTTTTGTTTTTTTTTAATTTTTTTTATTAAAACAAATAAAACATACCAAAGGGGGGTTTAACTCCCCAACCCCCCCCCCCCCCCTGCGTACGCGCCTGCGTCGGTCTATAGTGAAAATAATTAAAAGACCCAGGAGACCGATATCATCGGGCTTGTAGACTTGCGGTCTAGTGGGCTTTCGGTCCCGTGGGCCGTCGCGACGGTCTAACGAACCTCTGAGGAAATGTCAATAGGCCTACGAGATCAACAATGTTATTCCAGCCGTCATTGGCCTTCTGGTCACTTTTTAGAGGGTTTACTAGACCAACGCGAGGCCAACGAGACCGACATAAGACTGTCGGTCTTATGGGCCATGGACCTTTTAGGTCCATATTCTACTTCTTAAGTTAGACCCGACCATGGGTCGAATATCACATTTAACAAAAAAATTATACCTCAGACTGTCTTTTAACCCAATTTTGAAGAGAAAAAAGTGGGGAAAGGAATTGAGCCCTACGTCGGGTCCATATTTTGTAGAATACCGGCATTAAAATTTCAAAATGTGTTCACTGAGCATTATTTTTCTTTGTTTTATCGGTCTGGTGCGCTCTGATGACTATGTTTATTCAGAAAGAGAGAGAGAGAGAGAGAGAGAGAGAGAGAGAAGGAGAACAGAGAGAGGGAGTGAGAGGAATAGATAGATAGATAGATAGAGAGAGAGAGAGAGAGAGAGAGAGAGGGAGGGAGTAAGAGGATTAGATGGATAGATAGAGAGAGAGAAAGAGAGAGAGAGAGAGAGAGATCGGCGAACACCAAGTAAGAAAATAATCAGAACTCGAGAAAGCATACTTGAGCATTCGTTCCAGAACAGCCTCGTTGCCAGTTCGGATCGCTTTAACAAACTCCTGCCTATCAAGCCTTTTTTGTATACGTTCTTCTTTTCTCCTTTGCTTAGCCAGTTTCCTTAGTAACTTCCTTGCCCTCCTCTGCGCCCTCCTCCGCTCCCTGTATTCTATCCTCAATCTCTTCCGCTCTGCCTTCTGAAGACGTTTTTCCTCCTTCAGCGCTTCTTTCTGAAGACGTTCTTCCTCCTTCGTCAGTTCGCCGTCGGCCTGTCGTCTGGACCTCTCGCCGCGTTCGAGTCCGTCGTCGACCAGGGCAGCGGCCCCGGGTGCATTAGCGGCTTTGATGTTGCGTTTCTTGATGGCATCACGTCGCTTGCGGCTGTTGAACTGAAGGAGGAGGTCCATTGGTTCCAAGCTCCAACGATCTGCTACATCTTCCAGATTTTCTAGATTTTAACCAAACCGTATAGAAATGGAATGAAAGTGGTTTCATATTATTTATCTGAGCTTCTGCTTGATTTGCATAAAATCACAATTCACACCATAATGTATTTACATCTAGTCAGCTTCTGTCCAGCTATATCTATATCATTTTCTAGCTCCTGATTCTAGCAAAAATAAAATAGTTTTATGTCATTCATAATCCTGAATAACTTGTAAATCACCACAATATCCGTATGCATTATCACACGGTTTTGCTTTGAATAGCAGGTACCACTGGTTATTGTATTCTTGACATGCCATATTTTCCAGATAGCTTTTATAATAGCACCGTTACATATTATCTTTGCTAATGTATTTTTTTCTGTATCTAGTAATGTAATCGAAGGGATGAATGAATCAATTTATTACTATTTCTGAAACACGATATAAAACATTTTTAAATAGTATAACAGAGTATGTGTAAATGGGATAACACGAAATAGCCGAATGACTAATGAAAATGTGGAACGTCATAATACATAACACTTCTTAAAAAACAATTAAACATTATGAATCTTATATTCCATAACAAAATGAATCAGGAAATCATTATGCCTTGTAAATGTAAATACTGGCAGTAATTGCACGTGTTCACACCAACAAAAAATATGCTTGAATGCTTTTAGACGATATATATGTAGTTATTATTGGACAACATTTTTCATAAAATGGGTTCAAGAATGTAGCCAATGAGAAGCGTCGAAATGGATCACGTGACCGTGCATTATTATTATTTTTTTTAAAACTAAATTATGCACAGTACCATCTGCGTATTGGGGTGCATTTTGGTGATACAACCGTGGAAGAAGGTTGCGGGAGACTTCTTATGGCCTTGCTTAGTAAGATTGTCGCTCAATTTTATAAAACAAATAATACAAAGGTGTTTTTCCGTTCGTGTCATTTTGGCGATGCAGCGTTATTCGTGTATTCAAAATGGCACAAAATACACCCGGCTACGCCTCGTGAATTTGATTGCACCATAGTGAATACCCTCATGCGCTGCATCGACCATAACGCATTCACACCTGTGTATTATTTGTTTATCACCAGTTACTTTAAGTTCCTATGTTATATTATTTTCATTTTGTAATTACATTGCAATTCATCGTACTACTACAAAACAAATTGCCTAGTAAACCACTTTAATTTAAATTGTATTGATTTGAAATGATTTGAATTCAAATGAATTAGTATTGAGAAATGCCTTGAAAATCTATTTTTTTATTTGCTTGATATACAAAACTTGCAGTACATTGCATTAATTCTTACTTTCATCGCCATACATTTTGTACTATCAAAATAATCATCCTTGTTTTTATGAAGAATTTCATTTAAAATTAATACATACATTTATATAATGAATTTGCTTGTGACATTTCCTCCGCGACGATCAAAAAGTATACAAAACTTTTAAAAAGAATAAAGGAGAGGAGAAACTTTCGAGTTACTCTCAAATAATATCATATGATCACTTTTTGTGTGGTTGTTCTTCATCATTTTCATCACTCATACCATCAACTCTAACAAAAACAAAACCATAATATTGATCATAAAGGATACAATTATTATACGTTATACAGTGCGTCCCATATGTTTTATCAGCCATAGACGAAAGACTTCATGCATGGCTAATTGTCAACGAAACGGAGTTAAGTCTTTTGTCAATTCTGCTTGTTGCTACGGCAGGCAGCCAGTGAAAACGAATTCGTTTAATAACATTATGGAAATGCAAGCCTTATTTTAAACAAACAGAACTTTGTTATTACTCGCTCATTTTTCATGATTGAGGTGTCATATGAAAGGGCAGAAACAAATCTGATTTTCTCGTTTAAATTCAGATACCTCCCGTCAAATGACTTTTTAGTTCCCGCTCTTCAAATTAATTTTAATCACTCATGCGTGAAATATGAATTGCATCAAATGAAAGGAGAGGATTTGCATGATTATAATGATATAATAATAATATATATGTAGAGGTTTCGTAGAGTTGTCGTGATCTAGTGGATAGGTCACCGGACTGTTGATCACATGGTTCGAGGCTCGACCCAGGTGAGGTAAAATGGTAGTAGGAATGATTCCTTTAAATGCTATAGAGCGCCCTAATGGCAGCCCTGCTAAAGCCGGGGTAATGATATTATTGTGGAGTGCCAGAAATGCCAAGTTTGACATAATAATAATAATAATAATAATAATAATAATAATAATAATAATAATAATAATTACAGTGCTTATATAGCGCCTAACACTTACTTTGTCAGAAGTCTCTAAGCGCTCTACAATAATGCAGCATAATTACCCTGGCTTTAGCAGTGCAAATAAAATAAATTCCTACCAGGTACCCATTTACTTCACCTGGGTGGAATGTGGCAAATGTAGATCAATGTCTTACCAAAGGACATTAGTGCAGCGGCGGGACTCGTACGGAGCAGTACTGGCTCTTGACTCTTCTTTATTTTTGTTTACACTTCTTCTTTTTACAAATTCTTCTTTCAATTTGATGGATAATAACAAGACGTGTAATGTAGACAGTAAACATGAGACACGTTTGAATATGTAATTTTAAGTGACATTCTTTTTATAAAAAAACCAACAAAAAAAAACAGGAAGGCTGTAGACATGAGCGCTATACAATAACCAACTATCATTACTATATGGTTCATAGAACAATGAATATAAGAATACGATAAGTGGTATAAAGATATCATAATACGTGGAAATAACACAATAATATATAGCAATCGTATAATTACTGGTATAATAACATTACCGTGCTATAATGGTATCAAAATAGTGATATGTAATACAATATAATAGGTTTATAGAATACGTGATATGATATTTGCCTAATATAATGCAGTACAATATAACAATATTGTAATACGTAACGTAATTAATGTTCTGTGACATAACGATAAAAATACGAAATACATAAAACAATATAAAATTATATAAAAATATGTGAAAAATAATGCAGTGTAGTAGACACAGTGTAATGACCTGATATAATGATATAATAATACGTTATATATAAAGTGCATTATAATATGGTAAATATGATATCATGAAAGGTGATCTTACCATCTTCAGCGTAATATTCGTCGTTCCTGGCTACACTTCTCTTCTCGACTTGAAGAATGATCTCTTCCAGTTGCGCATCTTGGGCGGTTGTCTGCTCAAAGACGCAGCACAGTACCGCTAAAAAACTGACGTCATAATGACGTTCAAGTAGGAAAAGGAGTCAAATTTGTCATTGATCTAGTAGGTTCTACACGCAGATAAGCATTATTGGGTATATTGCCATCTGGCTAACATATCGTTGTAACAGTTTTCCCGATTAGTTTGAGTATTTTTAATTGAATTGAATTGAATTTATTCACCACTTTCATAAAACCATGCAAAGGCAAAGAATACCAAAGTTTCTTGCAAACAAAGATAAACCACTAAAATGGAAAATACACTAAAGGAAATTACGAAGTGGTTGGATCATCAAAAAAGTTACAAAAACTTATAGGTAGATCACTATGCACTATAAGGGAAATCCTCTGACAAAATAACCTAGATTTACTAAATCCACTTTGTCTACATCATTGGTGATAAAATATTATTTTAAACATACAAAAAATATATATATATATATATAATTTACTTTATTGGAATTTTTTTGATTTTCTCTTGTTGAGATTTTAGTAACAAAATTTGTTGTTCTGTCCTTTCGGAATTTACAAAGTTGTGAATCTCTTGAAAAATTAAATTCACTTCATTTTCATAACTCTACATCATACGTAATAATCATTTTGTATAAGATAATTTTTATCACATTTTTCGTACATACGATTTACTTCATTTTACGTTATTTTGAGAAAATTTAATCGAAGTATTTGTTTCATATAATAATCCAAATTGTATCATTCCCTCAAAAAGTTCATCATTCACTCAGAACATGTTACAATTATCACTAAAATATTGTAGAATTCTGTCTTTGGGAAAGGAAAGTAATTTGATAGATTGATAGTTTATCATTTCTTCAAGATGTTAAACGAATTCTATATGTGGTTAAAAAAAAACAGAAATGTGTAGACGTACCTTAGACTTAGTGTAACAAAAAACTACTAAAAAACTAACAACTCGATGTAAACATTGAAGTATTCCTACTACACTGTATTACCGGTACACTGTATTAATGAAATAATATATGAAAGAACAAAACAAAACTGATGTAACCTACGAAGTAGTGACGAAAGTAGAGCTGAATTAAGGATAAGTGAATGATAAAAAATCAAATTGATATTAAAAATATACAAATAGAGATACGCACCTCACTAACAAAATGAAATGAGCTCTTCCCGCCATGATCCTTGTAAGGCCCCAAACTGGCCGTTTGGGAACAAAACTACAAGATGATGTATTCACTTTCCTTTGAAAATGTCAATTCAAAGCTATGAATTAAAGATTAACCAGGCAAGGCAGATCTGTCAGTTATTACAAGTTCTCCTTGTGAACAACTTTTTGATGACTGGTTGTGGACAGTGCATCAACGGCATTTATATATTTAGAAGAGACTTCAGAATATACGATTCAGTATTCTTGTTCAATTTCACACTTTCTACAAAAGAGCGACACGCCACTGTGTCGTCAAAGAAACAATAGAAGTTGGAACATGTGTGCAAATAATAGTGCGACTGAAATAATCGAAATCGATTCACTCTGCATTGTCTTTTGCGTTATGTTTGGTTTGTAACTCGGTGGGAACCAAAATCCTGTCGACAATTGAGTGAAACGGAAAGCAGGTCGAAAGCTGGGCTTGGGTGCAATCGCTCCTCTTCCACCAAGAGACCACAAAATCCTCTTTTTCATCATCCCTTTGCTTTTATAAAACGAAAGTTTTGAATTATCATTTCGAAAGGCCGTAAAGTAGCCACTTTCTTTAAGTAGCAAAAGGGTAGAATCACACCTTTGTCATATTCAGATTAAAATCAGTTATTTAAAATTATTAATATACCATTACGAGCAACTTGCGGCTACTTTTCCCGGGCCTTTTAAACATTTATATTCTGTTTCGTTTTACAGATCCAACACTGTAGTCACATGTATAATACCACTTATCACACTCCTTTGAACATTGTATTGTCCAATATCAATATAGTCTCTTACACTGCTCTGACAGAACTTTAAGAAATATATTCATCAAACAATTTTTAAAATAATGTTGAAAAGGAGAAACTGAGGCATTTGAGATTTGAGGGTGGATTTAGTAGTAGCAGTAACAGTAAAAGTAGTATAGTAGCAGTGGTAGTAGTAGTAGTAGTAGTAGTAGTAGTAGTAGTAGTAGTAGTAGTAGTAGTAGTAGTAGAAGTAGTAGTAGTTGCAGCAGCAGCAGCAGCAGTAATAGCTGAAGCAGCTTGAGTGGTAGTAGTAGTAGTAGTAGTTGTAGTAGTAGTAATAGTAGTAGTAGTAGTAGTAGTAGTAGTAGTAGTAGCAATGTAGTAGTAGTAGAAGTAGTAGCAGCAGAAGTAGAAGCAGCAGCAGTAGTAAAAAGTAGTAACAGTAGTAGTAGTATAAGTAGTAGCAGTAGTAGTAGAAGTAGTAGTAGTAGTGGAAGAGTAATACCAGTAGTAGTAGAAGTAGTAGCAGCAGCAGCAGCAGCAGTAGTAGTAGTAGTAGTAGTAGTAGTAGTAGTAGTAGTAGTAGTAGTAGTAGTAGTAGTAGTAGTAGAAGAAGTAGTAGTAGTATAGTAGTAGTAGTAGTAGTAGTAGTAGCAGCAGCAGCAGCAGCAGCAGTAGTAGTAGTAGTAATAGTAGTAGTAGTAGTAGTTAGCAGAAGTAGTAGTGATAAAGAAACAACAAAGGATACAAGTTAGTCTGAGACATAAATACATGTAGATGCAGCGTGTTTTAATATTTCTTAAAAATTGTTGCACTGCACAAAAACAGACTTTGTATTATATCATTCAAACAATACAAATGCAATATACAAACACAGATTGCATATTAAAAATGAAATCATTATTATCTTCAATGATATTTTAACCTTTGTTCAACATTTCTAATGGCAATTTTCAAAATGTATGAAATGAGTCGAAATTTGTAGTAGATTAAGGCAACCTAAACCACTGTTCTATAACCATCAGCATTATCTATTTAATTATATATTTTACAATCGTCTGTTTGGAGCTAGAAGGCCTCCTATACTCTTACACAGAGTAAATACTCTTGCATCTCTCAACATATGAAATGTGTATTTTATTTATCCACGATTCATTCAAACTTCATCATGATCAAAATGGAACCCATATGCTTAAAGGTAATACAAAGTTTTGGTATGGGGTCGTGAATTTGGTTTAAATGAACATATTGGAAGCATATGCGATCCTACGATATTCACTGATCGTTGTCGTGGTCGAAATCGACTCTAAAGTTATGAAATTGTAAATAATAAACACTTTATATTGTATAGCTCCCTCTCAAGGTCAAGATATTAATTAAGCTATAAAACAATGTTTCTTGACTAAAATCGACCGATTAGCTATTCCCGTTCGGAAATTATATACCACAATTACATATTCTGATATTTTCATGGTCGCAGCTACCATTGTACGGCCGTAGGAGCTATTTGAAATTCATCTCCATTTACCAGGAGCTCCGGTAATTTTTTCTAAATTTCCCAAAACTTTGTAATACCTTTAATCAAACATATATTTGTAAATTGCCCAACCAAGAATTTGAAATACCATGCAGGTTTTGAAATATTTCTGTCTCTACATATCAACTTATATATGCCATAAATAATACAGTAAAATATAGAAAATATTTTGGAGAAAGAAATGTAAAATGTGCTCCACTCTTTTTAAATCTCAAATGTGGTCTCATGGATAATAGAGAATAATTTTATTCCAAAAATACTTAATTCATTGCTTAAATTACACATCAGCAATCATTCCATTTCCTGTGATTTTTGTCTTTCATTTAATAGGCAAATAAAAGATCTCTGTACTGTCCCCTCCCTTTCTTGTCTTTGATTAGGCAAATAAAAGATCTCAGTTCCCCCTCCCTATCTTCTCTGTATGTACAGTTGTTTTTCTGTATTACCACTTTTCTACATATGACTCTTCAGTACACCTCAAAAATCATGAATATTACACAATCAATTATACTGTAAGAAGTTCTTGGAAACATGGCATTAGCATTTCCTATCAGTTATCTAATCTATCAAATTAAGCTGATTCAACTTCTCATATAAGCCTCTTGTGCTAATAAATTTTGTTACAGTGATATTTAACAACAGAGTTGCCACATACATCATTTGAGCAAATAAAAATGGAATGAATACAATAAGTACGGAAGACATATTTACAAAGTGAAAATGCATATTTTGTGCCATTGTTAAAGTTATATTTTAAATCAACTATGTAGTCATTACATCTCCAAAAAGTTATTGTGGCAAGAACATTAAAGCATCACAACATGTGTACATTTTGGAAATAAAAATAGAACAAACAATAATACAACTGCAATCATTAAAATCTACTGGTACTGTGTGGGTTGTCGGTGCATAATAGTGCATAAATATTTCAACACGTTTTTATTATTTCATTTTGTTCAATTTGTTTTCTTCAATATAATTATGCATGGAAATAGAGAAAAAGAAGCATTTTACATTTATAATATGTTATGCTCATATGTAAATATTTGTGTTGTTAAATAGATAAAATGTCTACAATTTCAGCACTAAAGTCATAGTAGAAATATTGTGCTTGCTGGTTATATACATGCATTCATATCTCTTACATACTTCTTATAGGCTCGACTAGCACTTGTGCTATTAACAACTTCACCTAAATATAGTAATACACATATTTACGTAATAATATGCATTACTGTTCAATCGACATTACTCTTATGTTATATATATACATGTTTCAGTATGATTTTTTTCATTGTATGATTGTTCATATGTACTGTCATTATTGTGATGTGTTGTTGTTAATAAATTCAAATTCAAATTCAAATATTGTCTCCTGCTTCAATTAAACCGTTTTTAAAACCTCTCACAACAAACTGCACAATTGTCTTCATGAACATCTCTCACACCGCCTCTCCCTACCCTATCCTTAACATCATCAACTGAACTGAAAATCACATTGTTACATACAAACACTGAATCCAGTGTAAAGGACTACAATATTCAGGTATGTGAAGTTTGTACACGCCAATGAATGAATTAGCCTATTCATTTATCTGTGAGAGTTTATGAAAGAGAGGTCTTGAAGATATACATGTAATTCAAAGAAAGTTGACAAGTAAAACCAAAACCTTCCCAAATTGTATGAGTGGTTCAGACTTGCAGTAGTTAGATGCCATAAAGAATTGAATCACATCACTGAATTCTGGAAATCATGACCTTTCTTGATGCACAATGGCCAAGTCTTAAAAGTTCATGACACAAATGTTCTGATTTCAGCTGAAATATGACACAACTACAGGATTGTTTATCTGTAAATAGAGTAGGTGGGTGATGTATAGTAGGAGAGGTATTTAGTGTTTTGACCCGAGTCTTAAACCATAGCAGATGAACCATTGCTTTCGACCAGGACTCTCTTGTAAGTTGGCTTTTTGTACCTGACAAATGAAAAAAGAGATGAAGAAAGAGGTGAAGATTTAAACAATTCTTCTTTACTTTCTATTTATTCCATACATTTGTATTGTAAACGGTATCACTTTAAAAAAGGGGCAAGGAAATGAATACTAACCAAAATAATCACATTAATTGAAATTGATAGTTGCTCTTGACATTATAAAAATGAGAATTTGAAATGGGTATTTTTATTTTGGCTGGATGAATAATAAGAAAATAAAACAATCCTCTTCTTCAGAAACACATAACATGCAATCCTCTAGGGATCTGATAATACCATGTTTTAAATGCCCAATTCATTTTCGGGTTAAATATCTATCATAAGTAAAAAAAAAATTTAAAAAAATCTAAAAAAAAAATCAGTTCAGTTCAGGTTATTTTATTTTTGCACGGCACCAACTTCAGCCAAAGGCTGTTCTTCTGTAGGTCCGTGCGCAATATAAAAATTACATGTACAATTATTAGATAACACATATCATAACATATGAAATATTTAAACAAAAACAAAAACAAAAACACTACATTGATTGGTTAATATCAGTCCTTATATCCATCACACTGACATATAATTAATTCAATTAACAAGGAAACTTTTACAAAATTCATTCCTAAAACTTTATTCAGAATAATAGTTGATTAAGACCAAGCACAACAGTTTAATTGTGCAAGAAAAAATCTTAAGAAAAGGGAATAATGCTACTTACAGTTTGAGCATGAGAGAGGAGGAAACCACGGAAACAGAAGACATTGCCATGGCAGCTGATGCCATCCAGGGACGTAAGAAGATGTTGACTGGAGCTAGGACACCTGAAGAACACAAACATCATTCCAGATTAATATCAACATCTCCTATACAAAGAAGACAAATGTCTATTTTTCACATCAGTTTTTGTATCTATCGTATTCCCTCCCTCTTGCAATAATTTCTTTCTCCTTTTGTTTTATAATTACAATTCTTTTTCCTTTAGATGGTGTTTAATCACAACTTTTTTTGATTGAATCAAAAGATTTGATAATGTTCACAGACTATTTATGTTCTCCTTTCTGTATGTATCTATGTTCCTGTCATTTTGTTTCTCATTTTGTTTTTCTCCCTTTCCCCTCCTTCATCCATCTCCCCCTCCTTCTATCTCTCTAACTACCTCGTTTTTATTTCTCTTTCTATCAATTTTTATTTTTTCTAATGCCCTCATCAATTATCATGCTACTATCTGATCAATCCAGCTCCCTTCTTTCTTTCTCTCTATCTCTTGGTCACTTTACAGACAAAAAAAAATGAACTTTCATATTTCAATTAACCAGTCTACTTGCTGAGAGTAAGCGATACAAAATTATATGAGCTAAAGCCCTTCTGGCACAATCCGCTATATATGTATGTGCACTTGTGCATGCACAGAGATTTTGTATTACAGCTATTGGAATGTACAGGCTCGTTGGGCTGCTGGAGCAGGGGTACAAAACTTCCTAGGCATGGGTATGAAATAGGGGAATCCAAACGTTTTAAGGTCCAAAGTTTCATTTGTTGAAAAACCTTAAGCCATAGTTCTGCAAATGTATTCACATCAGTAATACTTCTAGTATTATTAAACATTTAGGTAGGAATATTTTCCTATGCAGGGTATCCCTTTCCTTAAATTTGTATGTTGTCTGTTGTGTTGTTTTTTCTGTCATTTAAAGGGTGATTGAGATATGATTGCGCCGATGGCTCAAGGTTAGTTTGGCTCTACAATAAATGGGCATAAATATACAGTCATTATTGTTTTTTACAACAATATGGAGCTAGCTAGCAAACGAGGGGGAATTATTGGTGAAGATTTGAGTTGAGTGATGAAGAATATATTTAGTTGTTGTTAATATTATTATTAATATTTTGCCAGGTATGGGTATAATGAATTTCCTAAATTGATAGTAGCCCGCCGTACAGTGCGCTACCGTTCTGTCTGCTATACACATCTCCAATTGATTCTCGCTGCACCTACCCGGAGCATATATGCCGTGAATACAGCAAGAAAACATTAATACGGTCCTTTTTTGCCTCTAAATCCCTTAAAACCACAAAAATCTATATATCCGAGGAGGAATCTCATGCCTGCAATGTGTATGCATAAAAGAATCTAGTAGAAATGAAGGTAATCTTACCAGCAGCAATAGGGATGCCTACAGAGTTGTAGATACAAGCAAAGAAGAAGTTGATGTAGATCCTTCTTACGGTGTGTTTGGAAAGGTCAATGGCACCTGCAACGTCCATCAGGTCACTCTGAAGGCAAAATGGAGACAAAATATATACAATCATTTTACTGTAGTTATTACAAACTAATAAATGAGGAGAACACATAATGTATGAAATTAAGCATCTACATATCAATGACAATATTTGAAAAACTTTTCATAATCATTGACACTGTTTATTTAAAGTCAGATTAATAAAGCAGATTTTAATGTAATTCTCCATATAACGCAAAGAACATTTCAAAATGTAGAGAACATGAATTGAAAAAGTTATGTATTTTCAATTTGATCATTATCATATTATTCGTTTGAGAGGAGTTAACACACTTTAATTATTGTTTATTTCCATCAATTGTATAAAGTGTGGCATAGAAGACACTTTCACCCCCCTAAATTCAAATTACTGTATCTGTCAATTTACATAAACAATGACAAATGGAGAGACAGAGGCAAAGGAAGAACGCGTAAATACAGAGAGAAAAACAAAAGAGAAGCGTAGACGATCAATGGCCCACCTTGATGAGAACAATGTCCCCTGCCTCTACAGCAACATCCGTCCCTGTTCCGATGGCAATACCCACATCAGCCTTCACTAGGGCGGGGCTATCGTTGACCCCATCTCCTACCATAGCAACACGCTGACCCTTGGCCTGTAGTTCAGTGATCTTTTCCACCTTGTTATGAGGGAGGACCTCAGCAAAGACTTGAGATATTCCAACCTGCCATGAGACATTTATAATAATCCATTTAATAGACTATACAATAAACATAATAATAATAATAAAATAAGAATAGTAATGATAATAACAACAACAGCAACAATAATGATAATAATAATATGTCATATATTCAAATAGTGCAGCTACTATATAAATATACTCGATTGTGCTTAATACAAAGTATCACATAATTAACTTGGCTATAGTCGAGCCACCATGTTTACAATGTCATCTTTCATATTACATTGCAATCCATTGATCTTTACTTGTGACCGATATCATTATTAGTGTGGGTGGGGCATTCAGTCGTCAAGCCTTATTGCTTTTATGGATGCATCATATTTTTATGTCATGTGTAATCATATCTTATTTAAATACGTGTAGCGAAAAAAAGAAAGTGGATACTGAAATCGTGGATAAGTCATTGGATACCTCCTGTACTCATCAACATTTGAAATTGCCAGATGCCTCTTTTGTTTTTCTTTCAGAAATGTTCACCAATGTTGAAAATCTTAAATATAAATAGAGTCCACATTTTCCCCCCTTTTTTTTGCAGAGTGAAGTTTGATCATATCCCAGATTCAATGTTATAACTTTGACTACGGTACATCACAATTACCAAATTTGATAATTTGTGTAGTGTCTCCATGGCTTTTTATATTTATGTACATGTAAACATATAACCATTCACCCTTCCCCAACACACTGCTGCATAGAAATTGCATTGACATTGAAACACTTGTTTCAATATTCACCATTGTAATTAATTTAATTTGATCAAGTCAGATGATACAAATTGCTTGTTGATACAGCTCTAATTTGCATGACAATGACGTTACGCAAACAAAACAGGTGTTCTTTGCCTTGGTTAAACACACGCCTTACTGTCTGGAGACAGAGGCCAGATGGCGTTCAGTTTGTGACTAGGCTCACAGATGCTGGTGTAGCCTGCTACGGCTACGGGGAAGTGATTGTAGACTAGATGTAAAGTGTTGATTGCTATTGTTATCTATATCTCAAACCTCACACCCCCTTGATTGCCCTGCCCTTCATGGTTTAGACCTTGACCCAAGAAAAAGGTTCTTTAGTTTGTTGACATGATACTGGGCTGTGTGTAGTAGAGTGGGTTGAGGGAGGGTTGAGGGAGGGTTGAGGGTGGGTTGAGGGAGGGTTGAGGGTGGGTTGAGGGAGGGTTGAGGGTTGAGGGAGGGTTGAGGGAGGGTTGAGGGTTGAGGGAGGGTTGAGGGAGGGTTGAGGGAGGGTTGAGGGTGGGTTGAGGGAGGGTTGAGGGAGGGTTGAGGGAGGGTTGAGGGAGGGTTGAGGGTGGGTTGAGGGAGGGTTGAGGGTGGGTTGAGGGAGGGTTGAGGGAGGGTTGAGGGAGGGTTGAGGGAGGGTTGAGGGAGGGTTGAGGGAGGGTTGAGGGAGGGTTGAGGGTGGGTTGAGGGAGGGTTGAGGGAGGGTTGAGGGAGGGTTGAGGGTGGGTTGAGGGAGGGTTGAGGGTGGGTTGAGGGAGGGTTGAGGGAGGGTTGAGGGAGGGTTGAGGGAGGGTTGAGGGAGGGTTGAGGGAGGGTTGAGGGAGGGTTGAGGGAGGGTTGAGGGAGGGTTGAGGGTGGGTTGAGAGTGGGTTGAGGGAGGGTTGAGGGAGGGTTGAGGGTGGGTTGAGGGAGGGTTGAGGGTGGGTTGAGGGTGGGTTGAGGGAGGGTTGAGGGTGGGTTGAGGGAGGGTTGAGGGTTGAGGGAGGGTTGAGGGAGGGTTGAGGGTTGAGGGAGGGTTGAGGGAGGGTTGAGGGAGGGTTGAGGGAGGGTTGAGGGAGGGTTGAGGGAGGGTTGAGGGAGGGTTGAGGGAGGGTTGAGGGTTGAGGGAGGGTTGAGGGAGGGTTGAGGGAGGGTTGAGGGAGGGTTGAGGGAGGGTTGAGGGAGGGTTGAGGGAGGGTTGAGCGAGGGTTGAGGGAGGGTTGAGGGTGGGTTGAGGGTGGGTTGAGCGAGGGTTGAGGGTGGGTTGAGGGAGGGTTGAGGGAGGGTTGAGGGTAGGTTGAGGGAGGGTTGAGGGTGGGTTGAGGGTGGGTTGAGGGAGGGTTGAGAGTGGGTTGAGGGAGGGTTGAGGGTGGGTTGAGGGAGGGTTGAGGGTGGGTTGAGGGAGGGTTGAGGGTGGGTTGAGGGTAGGTTGAGGGAGGGTTGAGGGAGGGTTGAGGGAGGGTTGAGGGTGGGTTGAGGGAGGGTTGAGGGAGGGTTGAGAGTGGGTTGAGGGTGGGTTGAGGGAGGGTTGAGGGTTGAGGGAGGGTTGAGGGTGGGTTGAGGGAGGGTTGAGGGTGGGTTGAGGGAGGGTTGAGGGAGGGTTGAGGGAGGGTTGAGGGAGGGTTGAGGGTGGGTTGAGGGAGGGTTGAGGGAGGGTTGAGGGTGGGTTGAGGGTGGGTTGAGGGAGGGTTGAGGGTTGAGGGAGGGTTGAGGGTGGGTTGAGGGAGGGTTGAGGGTGGGTTGAGGGTGGGTTGAGGGTGGGTTGAGGGAGGGTTGAGGGAGGGTTGAGGGAGGGTTGAGGGAGGGTTGAGGGAGGGTTGAGGGAGGGTTGAGAGTGGGTTGAGGGTGGGTTGAGGGAGGGTTGAGGGAGGGTTGAGGGAGGGTTGAGGGAGGGTTGAGGGAGGGTTGAGGGTGGGTTGAGGGAGGGTTGAGGGAGGGTTGAGGGAGGGTTGAGGGTGGGTTGAGGGAGGGTTGAGAGTGGGTTGAGGGAGGGTTGAGGGTGGGTTGAGGGAGGGTTGAGGGAGGGTTGAGGGTGGGTTGAGGGTGGGTTGAGGGAGGGTTGAGAGTGGGTTGAGGGAGGGTTGAGGGTGGGTTGAGGGAGGGTTGAGGGTGGGTTGAGGGAGGGTTGAGGGTGGGTTGAGGGAGGGTTGAGGGAGGGTTGAGGGTGGGTTGAGGGTGGGTTGAGGGAGGGTTGAGAGTGGGTTGAGGGTGGGTTGAGGGAGGGTTGAGGGTGGGTTGAGGGTGGGTTGAGGGTGGGTTGTGGGAGGGTTGAGGGGGGGGGGGTTGAGGAAGGGAAGAGGAGAAAAAAACATCTATCTTTGTAGGTTGTATTCATTGCAGGCGTCATTATTATAACAAATAGTATTAATAATAGTTAAAACAAAAAAACAAAAAATAATAATAATAGTAATGTTGATGAAAAGAAAAGAAAAGAACAACACAAAGCAAAAGACGAAGAATAAGGAGAAGAAAAGGAAGAAGAAGATGATAAAGAAAAAAGAAGAAGAAAACAAGAAAAAAAACAAGATTAAGAAGAAGAACAAAACAAAGGAAAAATAAAGACAAAATGAAGAAGAAGAAAAAGGAAAAACAAGAAAAACAAGAAAAACAAGAAAAAGTAAGAAGAGAAGAAGAAGAAAGAGAGAATAAAAAGAAGAGAAGAACAAGAAGGAGAAGGATACGATAAACGGAAGACGAAGACAAAAAGGAGGAAACTTATCGCTACAATTTTTTTTTTATCCATTAGAAAGAGCTTACCTGTTTAGCAATAGCATTAGCGGTAACCCTGTTATCACCTGTGAGTAGTACTACATCGAGACCTAGATCCTTCAATGTTTGAATGGCTTGTTTGGCTTCTGGTTTCACTGTATCAGCAATGGCGATCATTCCCACTATTTGATCTACATAAAAATACAAGAAGTATATACTTAAATGCTAGAAGTTTGCTGCAAGATTCAATCAGTTTAATTTTGGCTATTACAAGAAGTGGGTTATAGATGTAAATAAATACTCATGTACTCTTTACAGCTCATTTTATGTATGTTATTACCAAAGAAAAAAAAAGTCAGTCAGTCACTCAATAGTGTCTGATGGTGAAGTCTAGAAAGTAAACAGATTTCCTTGCACAGTTTGAATACTAGGACAATGCTAACGTTTACATTTCAGAGATAGGACATACGTGACATAATTCATAATTCCTGCAAAATTCTACAGAATTTGATGTTGGCTGCAAGTGGGACCTAGTACCTTTAACTGAACAGTTTGGCTGACCCATTTTCTGTTATCTGAATATCAGAAATGTGGGTAAACTCAATTATCAATCATCATTTTAAATGGGTAAACATGTAGATTCATTCGTGTTGGCAGGGAAAATGGTCATGGGGGTGGTGTTCATTCAAAATGACCTTCAAAACAAACTGTACAATTTTATAGATCATTGTGATGGAATTGAATTTTTCGGTATAGAAAGAAATTGTAAACAAAGAAATAATTATACATGATCCCCAAGATATAGTAAAGAACATTTTATATATTTTGTTTAATTGATGTTGTTTCAAATGCTGTAGGTAGCAGGCAGGCTTTCACTAATGACTTCACCTTCATATATGCCTCACCAACTGAAACACTACCTCTTTTTCAACCCAGTTATAAAAACCAAACTATTAAATATAGGTAAACATCTAAAAGGAGGTAATTCCATCACTAATTTGATCACCATCACCTTCACTATTATCATCATCACCATCGTAACACCCCGACTGCCACAACAACCACCACCACATACCACCATCATCCCCCACCACCACCACTACCACTACCACCATTAACACTATTACCACCATCATCACCACCCTCACCATCATGCTCATCTTAACCGTCATTATCACTCAAATCATCATCAGCATCATCACCACCACCACCACCACCACCTCTACTATCCCCACCACAAAAAACTGAGAGTAACAACTCTTACCATCCACTGCAACTAATACAGCTGTTTGCCCCTGTGCTTCGTTATGACCCAATGCCTCGTTCATATCAGCTGTGACCGTCAGGTCATTCTTTTTCATCCATTCCCTGTTTCCAATTAGTACTGTGAATTCATTCTTCTGATCCACAGCTTTCTTAATTTCTGAAATTATTCAACCAAAAAAAAGCATTAGCCATACTGAAAATAAGATGATTGACGTTATGATCAGTGTAACTTTCAAATCTAAGACGTTGTCATCAATCTACCTATTCAACAGCATTAAAATTTGCATATTTGAAGGAAAATTATTTACAGAATAAAATGTATACAGAGCTTAGAATCAATAAACCTGTCATGTTATGGTCTACTGCATAGATCCCAAGACTGTGTATCACAGGGTATAGGGTTGTACTCCTTGTCAGTTCACTATGGCAAGACATTAATCTACATACCGATATGCTACATACCGGTATAAGAAAAGTGAATTAGGTGGCTACCCATATTGTTCTTGAAATGAAAGTGTGTGTTGAGCCTGTTTGATGGAGATGAAGCTGGGGTAATCATATAGAAAACTATTTCATTGACTTGATTATTTATGTAAAACATTGATAGGCTTTAATAGGCCTATTTGAAGGATTACAAAATTATTATAAAATCACAATTACATCAGATCGAGGGCAAGGTCAACAATCTCACCTCCGCATTTCTCCTGTTTCTCGCTCTCATTGGCAAGCAATTGCATTGTGGGAAAATTGTCAAGCATGGCTCCCACATGACTGACAGTGCAGCGGAGTCCGTAGCCAGGCTCGGCATTGAAGTCTGAGCACCTCCCAACCTGTTCGGCGCTTAACATCTGTCCACAAAAAAACAATCAATTTTATTTTATTTTCTCTGACTGCACTGAAGGTGTCAATTTTCTCATATACTTGGGTATGTGAGTGTTCGGTTCATATAGAGGTGTATAAATCAGATACAATCTTTTAAGTCTATTGTCTATTGACCTTTTACGTCAACAATTTGTGTTTGATTAATCGCATCTTCAAAAATTCATAACTTTCTTATTGGGTTTTTGCTCAATGTTCACTGACCTGCTTCTCTCATTTTTCTGCTTCTATTAACTCAAACTTAATATCAGGATGGACTTCCCCTTTTAATAACATGGCACAATTTTCCTGGAGGTGATGCATGTTTGAATATGGGTATATGTACATGTATTTCCAGCTGCCCCCTCCCCTTTTCCATCCTCCCCTTCGTTCAGTTCAGTTCAGTTCAGTTCATTTTATTCAAAACCATACAAAGCATGATATAATCTGTTACATAAAAAAAGAGACTGGTAATAGTACATCAATCAGCATATTCTAACTTGATTACATCATAAACTGAACGGTTTTAGGACCCCTTTAGAAGCTAAGCTTGTACCCCATCGTATCCCCATCTGCACCTCTTACACCTATATTGGATCTTTCAATCAATGTCAGACATCTCGGTGTAGTATTTTTACACAGGACCAACTTTTATCTTTATTCAACCTAAAGCATTTGGGTAATTTTAGGTCTCTTCATCTCAAATATTGACTTATGGATTACTGAAAATTGTGTTGACTACAGTTTTAATCAGTTATAGTATACTGGAGGCGCACACAAGTAGTTAATTCCATTCAACTGAATTGTATTATATTAGTAATATTTAATTTTATTTTGTTGCTTTTAAGCTATTGAACATGTTGAATAATTATACTAAGTTAGTCAATACCACATGTGCGCTTAGAAACGCCTGTATTAAGCGCCCTATAAATGTAATTATTGTTATTATTATCACAATTAACAAGAAAGACATAGGTTAAGTACCTCCTTGGCATGCTTAAGAACAGCCGTACCCAGAGGATGTTCACTACCAGACTCTGCTGTCCCACAGATAGCAAGGAATTCTTCCTCTGTCATACTGTCCAATCCAGCAGAGAAGAGCTTAGTCCTCATGACCCTTGGTTTACCATAGGTCACAGTCCCTGTCTTATCAAACACAACTGTCTTCACCTGTTAAAAGAAGGTAGAAACAAAAGAAAATTTAAGGTCATTCACTTTTCCCACACACAGGCTGCATTAAAAAAAATATATACCTTTTTCAAGTTGAAGACCGACTTAAACATATAGCTCTGTCAGTTTGGTCGACAACAGTTTGATTTCTGTTAAATTATCACAACATATTTTCTGGAAATTTGAACACTTTTATGACCTGGGACCTTTGACCTCTTAGACTGAAAATCAAATCAATTCATCAGTGCTCATTCATACTTCACCCAAGATGGGTTTGAAATGCCTCATTGCTTTTCAAGTATCATGGTTACAAGTAGTGCTGTAGCTCGGAACCCAAAACCCGGACCCGGCCCGACCCGGCAATTTTCTAAATTTCTTAATGGGACCCGGAAAGGTCTGGTAACCCAGTGAGAGTTGGACTGAAATAATATTGACAAGATTCTATTTGAAAGCTACAAACACATCTTGTGTGACCTACCGACCTTGTCCTGAATAGAGGGCACATCGCTTCATTTTGTTTATCATGCTGTCTGTGAGTCTAGACATATAAGTCCCAGGTCAGCATAAATTATCACCCTTAATCCACTCCCTAAAAAGTTGAAGCATAAGGCTAGCTACATGTATGTAGGCATCCTAAAAAATAGCTCATTTCCCTGTCAGAGTGCCCATACAACATGCTCTACTATGATTGGTCCGTTTGTCTGCCAATTAAAAACAATGATCACATGTAAGGCACATGGTCTTAGCCGACATTTGCATATTTTTTAGATCGAGCCATCATGCTGTGTTTCTTTCCAGTTACTTTTGACAGTTTTTTATCGTGATGAAAGATAAGTAGATAACGAATAATGAGCTATTTAAAAACTCTTTTTTACTGCCGGGTTTTGTTACCGAGTTGATCTAATTCTAGCTACAGTTCGGCCCGGAACTGGTCCGGCCCGAAATGCTCAACCCGGCGGCTCGAAATGCTCAACCCGGCGGGTTGGAACCCGGTAAGCCTTCCGGGCTACAGCACTAGTTACAAGATACTTTTTTTTTTTTTAAATAATTTTATGACACTGCAATCTTTGACCTTTGACCTCTTCCACCCAAAATCTACTCACTTCATACTTTCATGCTCATACATAATTTATCCGAGTTTGATTTGTATTGCTTCAATTCTTTTCAAGTTATCGTGGTAACGATAATTCCTGGTATTTAAAAAAACTTGTACAACCCTGTGACCTTTGACCTTTTCCACCCAAAATGTAGTCACTTCATCCATGCATGCTCATACATACTCCCTCCGAATTAAAAGAAAAATCTATTGAATGGTTTTCAAGTTATCAGGGTAACGGGATGGACGGACAAACGGACGACCCGAAAACGTAACACCTTTCGGTGGCGGAGGCATACAAATGTGATCTCCCATCCGGAAGTAAACACAACAAGAAAACAATACTTTCTTACCTTGTGGGCCATTTCCAGGGGTTCACCCCCTTTGATCAAGATGCCGTTTCTCGCCCCAATCCCGGTGCCTACCATCACTGCAGTGGGGGTTGCCAAACCTAGGGCGCAGGGGCAGGCAATAGCCATGACGGCAATGGCAAGCTCAAAGGCAAAAGAAAAGATGGTTTCCATTCTTTCTTGATGAATCACGTCTTCGGTCTGAAGATAATTAATGATTAAAGATAAAGACAGAGTGATATTATGATACTCTTTCAAAGTAAATAATCTGTGGGGCCTATGGCATTGGATGGGGTTATAGGTAAAATGCATAATATATAACAGGTGTTTACACCTGTTACTACAGCATCAAAGATGACCAAACTATCATGAAAATCTTGCATAAAAGTCATAAACTTAATGATGGATGGACAAGACCTCCTAAATGATGCCTAAACAGTCAGAACAGACAGAGGGTCTTTAAATAACTATTTTTTTTCATTGGATTTTAACAGACCCGGAAGTAACCATCTAGAAGGTTGCATGAGAGATAGAGATCATGATTAAGCATGTTGAGCATTCTCTTGGGATGTAATAAAGCCAAATAAAGTCATTGAAGCACAAGCACAAGTAGAGTTTAACAACTAGGCAAATGCATACAAACATATATGTAATATTGAACAACAAATCTTCTAAAGTTTGAGTAATCATTTTTTAGCCTAGCAGAGAAAATATTATTACTTTCTCTGCTGTATGTACATTTAACTTTTTTCATTTTCAAAATTTTGATTTCTTTCAGTGATCAAAGGGCATGAGCTCATTTTATTTTTAAACATCCCTTCCTATTATTATACTACTATATATGTTTCTGGAAATGAAATGAAATAGGATAGATAAAACAATTCATCTTTGGAAAGTAGGCTAGTACGAATAGGTTTAAGGTCTCTCGTTACAAGAAGGGTTTGCTTACAGCATTTTCAGCAGGTGGGGAGTATATAGGAACTATTTCAATGTCCACAAATCCAATAGTTAACCAGATACCCAACGTAATGATGGATAAGAAGAGAATGGTTGGAACAAAGCGCCCGGATATCTTGTCTGCAATCTGCTGAATTGGAGCCTGAAATGTATAGAAGAAAATACAGATTGTCAGTGAATGATATACTGGTACTGTTATTAACATGTAAAGGTATAATAAAACGAAGCCAAAATTAAACTAGGGTTCTTAAGAACACAAATTAAATGGCTTAACCTGATTTTAAAAAAATATTGAAGAAACAACTTGCTATTATTGTGTTAAGAGAAACAAAATATATTTTTTTGACTGGTCAGAAAACAATTTTTACATTATCCACAAAATTGGAGGTCCAGGATTCTGAGATAATAATAAACAATAGAATGCATATCTAGCATTAAACTGAATTATTGTGAAGCCACATCAAAATCAAGTCGCAAATTTTGCATTTAGCCTTCTCCCTTACAAAATTGACTCTCGCAATAATTGAGAGAAATGGCTTAATAAGCACATTCACCAACAAATCTTGGGTCACATAAAATACAACTTTTTTCCACTATCTACTTTATTCATTAAGTGATCCGGAAAGTCCTCCATTTAATTACAAACATGCAAACTCTTATCTCTATATTACAGAGTAGATATATCAATTTTAACCTAATCGCAACTGTTTATAAATAAAAACGGGTCGAGGCTATTTTTTTAATTGCTGTTTTTTGTATTTTGAAGAAAAAATGTTCTATTACTGGCTATTCAACAATGAATGCAGTTGTCATTAAAGGGAGGCTTTCCAAGATGAGAGTAAAAGGTTTACCTTAGAAGTCTGTGCATCCTCAACTAATTTGACGATCTGAGCCAGAGCGGTATCCTTACCAACGTGAGTAGCCTCCATCATTAAAACACCAGTTTGATTGATAGATCCACCAATCACCTTAGATCCTAAAAAGAAAAAAATACCCATCATTTATTTATTTATTAGTCTTTTTTTAGTAGGGTGGCTCCATCACTAGTTAAATACTGTTTTCCAGGGAGGCCCTACAACATAAATACAAAATTTACAAACATATTGATGTAACCAATCCAAATCGAGACAAAATAAATTCAGTTACAACATTTTCGAACAAAAACAACACAATGGACCAATGACAAATGAAAAACTTTGTTTTCCCATCTGGGTTTTTATCTTAGGTAAAATTAATCCTGCGTTTTGTGCACTGCGCGTTCTAATGTTATGTTATGTTATGTTCTTAACTTTACAATATCACTTCTTGACATCATAGACACAATGTCATCTGACTTTTCTTTTATTGGATACAAATATTCTTTTCTGAGTAAAACGACTCCTAGATCATTAATTTTGGGTGAGGCGTTTTGATTCTATTGTGATTTTTGTTTGGCAATGTTGTTTTAAAAATTTACTACCAGTACTTCTCCAACCAAAGTCATGCTTGAAGCTGCCAAATATTGCTCATAATGGCTTCCCATACAATCAGCTGTGTTGATGACGCAAGCACTCATGCATTTGTCCACACAGCTGATTGTATGGGAAGCCATTGTGCACAAATTTCTCACTGCTTCAAGCATGACTGCGGTTGCAAAAGACAATTTACCTTTGGTCTTGCAATCCTTATTCTGTGTAATTTGGTTTTATTCTGCTTGTTTCGTTATATATCGTTGTTTAATGTGTTAAAGTAAAAGAAACAAAATTTGTTATTTTCTTTTCCTTATCACCACATGACTTTTTACGGTGGAGCGGAAAAACTAATATTTACACTTTTGAATGTAACTCTAATTACACAAGGTTATGAAAACCATTTTGAACCCTATAAATTTAGGTCAAATCAGTCTTACAATAAGATGACAAACCTCTTCCAAGGCTTCAGCTGTTAGATATGTCATACTTTTAATCATGCTACCCTATTATAAACTTCTAATATACAAATTAAAAGAAAATGGAAGACTGGGAGCAAAGTTTGCTTAATTGTTTTGTATGTTTCATATTATTGTACTCTGTTTCTCGTATTATTGTAATGCTGGTGGGAAGCATATTTCCACATTATGGACGAATAAATCAAATCAAATCAAGAAGAGCCTTGACATCCTGTTTCCCACTGTTTATGCACACCCAATTACAAAAACATTTACACTTTTAATCATCTGGTATAACAGCAAATAACAGCAAGGTTGTGATAATCATTCAAAATCCTTGCTTACTTTCCATTCTATTTAATAGCACAATGATGTTCTTTTAACATGTATTATGTTATAATCTTTTATCAATCTTGATTTTAACAATGGTTTGTTGGTCACAGAAATGAAGCATAGGAGACATCTTAGACCATGGAAGTAGCCAAGAAATTTGACCCATTACTACAGCAGTAATTTACAAAAGTAGTCCATTCAACCTCTTTTAATCAATTAGTTAACAAAATAATTTGAGAATTGTTTACCTGGTTTCTTACTGACAGGCATAGACTCTCCCGTAATAAGAGCTTCATCAACCGACGATATCCCATAAATCACCTCCCCATCGACAGGTAGCTTAGAGCCTGGAACCACCTTGAGTTTATCACCCCTTTGTACTAGTTCTATACTGATCTGACGCTCTTTGAGGACCTGGTACTCTGGACCTAGTTCTACCAAGATGGCCTCAGCGGGCTGAAGGGACATGAGCTTGGACAGGGCATCCGACGTCTTGGCCTAAAAGATGATTACAGGTAGATAATAAGATGCAATCCGGCAACAACTGCTCCATGGTCAATATGTTTCACTATACAAATTTTTTCCTTCAACCCTGCAGTACCCATATTAAATCCTTAACCCCTTACCTACAACAAAAATGAAATCCCAACCCTAACCCTCTATCTTTGACAAAATAAAGCCAGGAGCTATTGTCACTGGAAAATATGATCGAGCAGCGATTGAAGTACAGTACATGAATGTAACATCACTTTAATTTCACACAAAGAAGGTGATAGAAAATCAAGTGCTATCCTATGATAGCACTTATAAACAGTCATTATTATATACAACATCCCAAAGTATTATGGTAAGAAGAAAATCTTCTGTTACAGAAGCTACAGTTAAATAATATAAAAGCGTTTTTCGATATAGCAATATTATAAAACATAACACCAATCAAAAAACTATTGTTTATGACCCTCTTTTCTCGGGCTAACCATTCAAATCACGAATTCACTCAACAATTACAAGCTAATTAGAGTCAAATCTATTATAATTTTTGTTTTCATTTTTATTTCTCTTTCATTTTTTTCTTTCTTCAAATGCTACATTATGAGCAAGTGCAGAGGATGTTTGCTTTCTTGTCTGAATTTTGCTGCATGAGTTTGAGCATTACCAATTTCTCATTCAGTTTACAAATCTTAAGGACCATTTAGCAACAGATCATCAAATCTTGAACCTTTCTTGCTATATGAATATAAGACCCACCTTAGCCATGTGTTCCAACCATCTGCCTAGCGAAACAAAGACAAGCAGCATGGGAGGAGTGTCAAAGAACGTCATAGGACTGCCGTCTTCTTGACGACCGATGGCGACGAGGACAATGATGAGGGAGTAGACGTATGCAGTCGATGTCGCCATCATGATGAGGACATCCATGTTGGCTGTGCGATGTTTGAGGGCCTTGTAGGCTTGGACGTAGAAGTACCGACCACCTAGAAACTAAAGGAGCACACACACAAATATCTGATTACGGTACAAGACACAATTTGGAATTGTGAATATTTGGCTCTGAGACAATACATTTTTATCAAAGTTTCTCTTATTTTTCTAAGGCCAAGCTACATTTATACAGAAGAAGATGAAGATGACTATAGATCAAATTGTTGATACTAAGAAGCTACTGATTTATTAATTGTCCTATTTCTTTTTTGTATTCTATCACAAAGAATCTCATGAATCTCTTCATCCCTGTGTAACCATAAACAGGTTCTTACAGATTGAGGTTTGAATGGCATGGATGTTGAATAATGTGAAGTTTAGTGAAAGGATGGCAGAATATATGAAATTTGTACACCAGCCTATGGGAAATTTAAAAAAATACATTATTTGAACACATTTGTACACAGGTCTATGGAAAACCAGTGAGTGGCATATACTGGAATACCAATTAACGACACTTACCACACCTCAAGGAGCTGCAGTAAATGTTACCGTATATATGACCACTTGCCGTTCATAAACTTAACGTTTTATGAAACAGGAAGTTGCCGCTGCTTCCAAATTTGCAACAGGAACTGGACTTTAGCACTGAAAATGGGACTTACAGCTACGGTAAATGCTTTTGACCCCAGGGCCCCGTTGCTTATTTAAACTGGAAAAACAGCTCTGACAATAAAATATATAAAATTCAAAAAATGCCACGATCCCTGCAACGAAATGTCAAATTTACAATAGCAAATGCAAACAGAGATCACTGTCTGGTAAATAAAACAGTTATTATGACACTGCTCGAAAATGCCTCGTGATTGAGAATCCAGTAGTGAACATGTCTTAGAGACAAACAAATCAAATTAAATGTTGAATTCATTGTATTTACCTGAACCATGGTGGCACAGATGAAGAGGATAAGATTCTCAAGTGAGAGTCCAGGAATGACGATGATGTGATTCTTTGAGATCATAAAGTAGAGCATCGTTGTAATGGCTGGCACACCAAAGATGAGTGAGATGAAGAATGATGTCCTCCACCTTAGGTAGGATTAGAAAACAAAGGTTATCAATACCCTCAAGCTAAGCAAAATATTAAAGTGGATGTTATAAAATAATGAGAGAATATTGTATCATCCAGGGTTGTTTGAGATTAGAGGGCATTCCGACTGGTAAAGGCAAAGAATTTATTATTTGCAGGAGAGGTTCTTAACAAGTTTGTGAATGGACATGTAAGATCTGTCTATTGTAAAAGAGAAATATACTTCAAGTTAGCAATACCACATCTGTTATCCTTTGGATACTTGAGATGTGTCAAGGAGTAGGTATGATAAACTGACTTTCACAATAACTTTCTTAACTTAATGTATACGATGCAACAAATACATTCATAAAATTTTTCATTATACAGCAAAAGACTATGATAAATACATATACATGATACAACATAAATAGAAATCTTCATTAATACATCTTTCCCTGCATAAATGAGATGCAAATGATTGACGTAATGAGCATTCACAGAATGGTGTCCTGCTTCATTGTGTTATGTAAAATATGGTTTCTTAGAATGTTTTCAAAGACTTGAAAATAATTAAACATCCAATTTAAGCTTTCTGTTCATTCTAGCAATATACGCTGAAGAGTGCAAGATGTAAAGTTCTGTATCTTTTAACTACAATAAATATATGAAGAAATGAATTCCCCAAAACAACCTGAAATAGGCTGAAAGGATTAAGTCTCTGTATTTCATACGAGAATAAATGTGCGATTGATGGTTGGATGACTTACTTCTTGATAGTTTTCATGTGTTGATTTGCCAAGTTGATCTGGTTCTCTTCTGTACTGATTTCACAATCAAAGCCAGCATCCTAAAAGAGATCAAAATGAGAAAGGAAACACATTGAAATCATATTACCGCTAACTTATCCCAAGAAGCCAGTATTACGATAAAAATCTCCATTCTTCTTTGTCCCTTCGTCAATTGAGCGCAACATACAATGTAGGTACATGTGTATTTGCTTTAAAGGCATTTTTTAAACAATGTTTTCAGTTTTACAAATCTGAGATACATAATGGCCCTACGTGTTAAATTGCGCTTCAAAATGATCATGAAGTGCTTCAAAAAAGTTTAAATCCTTGAGTGACCCGTTTTACCATACTCATTTTCCCTAGTAGACTGTAGCGTTGTTCAAAACTGTTTGGCAAACAGTTTTTGACATTCTTAATTCCAATCATAAATATCTTGATAATCAGACAGGCGATCGGCTTGTAAAAGTAATGGGACTCCTGACTGGCCTAAAGGTTTATAATTACGATTGCAACATGAGCCTAATCCAGGATTTTGTATAGAATATGAGGTAAAGATACCCAATCCCTTTAATAGCTCTGTGATAACGACACAGAAATATGAAGTGTATTCATCCACTTTAAGTCATCATAAAAAGACTGCTGGGGTTTAGAACTGCGTATCTAAACGTCATTTAATACATGAATTATACATTAACTTTCAGGAGCCAAGCATTTGGATTGGCTTTTTTTTTAAACTGCTTTTAATGCAAATTATTGTGAAAGATTTGGAGGGTTCTGTTTTTATATGCAAACAAAAAATGCATGTATCATCCAGGTGATAGGCTTCACAATTTTTGTGTTTAAGGACATAGGAGGGTGAATTTGATCGATATTATCATGAGTTACTACACAAAGCTGGGAAGAAAAATAAAGAGCTGCTCTAAAATTACAAACTTCGGTTAAATTTTTACGAAGTTTAAAGAATTGAAAATGGGCAGCATAACAGTTTCTGCATACATGTATATATACATTTAAGTTTTACGCTAAAATTAGATCCTACAGATGTTTGTTTTATTACCCTAAGAATTTTTCAATTTCAATTTGTTATTTTGTACGTACCTCAATGGAATCCATGATGGTTCTTGGTCCAATGCTCCCTGGATCATAGCGGAAGACACCTTTACAGGTCGTCAAGGCAACAGAAGCATCTTTAACTCCTTCCAGTGCTTTTGTTAGACTCTCAATGTTATTGACACATGAAGAACATTCCATACCATTGATCTAATGAAGAAGGTAGACAAGACAAAATACTGGAAATTCATAATGTTCCTCTTTATATTTAGAATGAGCTTTAGTTTCCTTGACAGGCTTAATGAATGTTTACATCAATTTTTATTATAACAATTAAAAAAAACTGTCATCGTGTATATTTTATTTGACTGATTTTGGAGTTTAAAAAGCAAAAATAAATGTGCGACACTTCAGAGCCATTACATCCACACCACAGAGTGGTGGTCAGGTTCCACTGATATCAATGAGGCTATACATGTAGCTGGGGTACTATTTTGAAGTTCCTTGCAGTTCATGATTTCCTTTCTAATTGGTATCCATTTACTAAACCTGGGGGGTGTTTCACAAAGACTAAGATTGTCCTTAAGTTGGACTTAAATATGACGGGTCGTTCTTGCCACTGTTTTCTCTCACCATTATGATCTTTAGACAACATTTTTTCCTTCAATAATGAATTATCAAAAAATGTAAATTCTGTAGATTTGTGACTATGATTTGTACATCCCTTGAGAGATCAATGCCACTTAATGGTGATAGCAAACCTGCTATAGTTAAGTCCAACTTAAAGTTGATCTTATTCTTTGTAAAACCCCTTGGGTAGAGAGAAAGAAACAACTAGATATTTTTTCTATGGACATAAGAAATGGGCAAGGATTTTGAAAACTCAAAATACTTTGGTTTGAAATAAAGTCAATGAACCACTTTGCACTTTGGCATCCTCATTTCATAAATATACCTCAGAGTCTGCAATAGGAAGACACTGCCGTTATGGAATTCAACACAAAATTATCAGGGGGGTGTTTCACAAAGATCCTAAGTCGAACTTAACTCTAAGTTGTACTTAAACATTATGGAGAGCCATTTGTAGCCTTAAACAAAAAAAAATTGTGGGGCCGTGTAGGCCTGGCCAGGGCCTGGCTCTTTTCTCACTGTAAACAGGGTCTTAGAATCTTTGTGAAATACCCCCCAGGAGAATCGATAAATATGTTATTTGAAGAACTTTTACTTACAATGAGATTGAGCGTCTCTTCTCCAGCCATCTGCTCCTCTTTCACCTCTGCATCAAATCCCATGTCTTCTATCATCAATGCAATCTCTGCAGGAGTTACCACGGCAACCTGGTACTTCACTTCTGTCTTTTGGGCTATCAGAGAAACAGTCACAGCTTCGATGCCTATAATATTAACATGGAGAACAACAAATATATGTAAATTAGTTTTGTTTGCTTGTTTTTTTTTATGAAGTTTAGTTTTAGTTTAGTTTAGTTTATGAGGGAATCTAGTGAAAAGCAGGGCTTGTTAAGACAGATTTATAAAAAATAAAAAATAAAAACAATCCAATGCACAATGTACGGTATGCAACATTACAAAAATAATCTCCTTTTCAACTACTGATGTTTATACTTCATATTACCAAAAGCCCATAAAAGATGACATTCTTGTCATTAAGTAAGTCATACATGTATGGACCTTACAAATGTTTAGTAATTTAAAGAATTAGCATGATAAACATAAATCCAATATGCAATCTTGGAGAAAAAAAAGTATTTACCGGTACATCTTTAAGCAAGTTTGATTTTTCTTAAAGGTAAAGACCAGTTATGGACATGCGATTGCATTGTGAAAGAAACGTTGTGGAATCGATCAGAAAAAGTTGATCATCTAGCATCTAGCATCTGCAAGGTTCTGGAATCATCAAAATGATAAGAAATTTGGCCCATTCTTCGTAAAGTTACAAGCACTGTACACAGAAAGATGTATATGGGACTACCCTATATCTCTCACAGACCATGAGAGAAACAAATTTACCAAATATATGAAATGGTAGGCGGTTTCCCGGCAAATTTTTTATCATCATGTATTAGTCAAAACATATTCTTTCACATGATTGGTAATGAGAACTTCCATTTCATTTTTTGAAATTGAGGCGTTTCCAATACTGGTCTTTACCTTTAAACTATGATAGAGTGGAAAATACAAATCATTATTGCCAATTTGAGGAGGAGAAGCTGATTCATTTAAACCTTTCAAAGATTGAACTGTTATGGGTTAAAAACTTCATGTTTGTGTGAATCGAGTGATCTTTTTATATCAATAAACAGAAAATAAGAACAATACAGATAACATTCAATGTGTCGCCTTCGCCACAGGTTATCAAAAGGGCAAAGCAATGAGAACTTTCTCAAATATTTACTGGACCATATTTACTCAATATACATAGTCTTCATTCAAGGCAGAATACAAGTAAATTTCATTCCTGTGAAAAATAAGTTGATCAAATCTTGAGTAAGTAAAACTATCAAATGTAATCCCCTCTCATTTTTCGGGGGTCAAGAAAGGGATTGTCGACAAATTTTCAAGAATATGTTGTTTTATAATGCAATTTTACAACAAAATATATACTCTTTTTTTTTACACAGTCATTCTCTCTCGAAATCTAATTTGAATATTCACAAAGTAAGTTTTTATTTGTGCTTTGGTTTACTTCATACAGATATTCTCATGTGGGAAAGCCTCAATAATTCAACCCTGACTTGTAGCATTATCACATTAATACACGTGCACTCTATTCAAGTATAAACATAATTATCTAATTAGAATTTAAGGCTATCCTGTTCCACTAATATTGTTTGTGAAAGTGAAAGAAAATATAATCAGCCACAACAAAGGGTATCAGCATTGGATTATTCCTGAAAATAACATTCACTCTAAAACTTGCAATTTTGTTGCGAAAATGAATACATACATTATTTGAAATCTAAGGAGAAAGAGTGGATGCAAGATTAAAAGTTGAAAATGGAGAATTCTAACTTTTAAAAGTAATAGTAAAGAAACCAAACCTCACTTGAATGACAAGTTTTGTCTAAATGTGAAAACAAAACTTGTTACTGTCTGTTGAAAGCCAGAAGGACATTAACCCTCTGTTAAAGAATATGAGTTAATGCCCTTCTTGCTCCAAACAGATAAACATTCCTGCTATAGTCCCTCACACCCTGCATTGGTTCTAAAAATGCTTGTTTTACAAGGAATTTTGAAAAGTTTACCTCTTTGTTTGATGAGTGATTTTTCAATGGTATTGACACAGGAGGCACAGGTCATCCCAGTCACTGTAATGACACATCTCCCGACCTCCACCTTCCCATCATCCTTCACCATAGCAACCCTAGGCTTCATCTCAAGCACAACATCCCCGTTCTTAATCCCATTCTCCCTGGAGGTAGAGGGTGGGGTATCCCCCTCAGATGCTATCAGGGCTTGTATCTCGGCCCTGTCTACGGAGGTGGGTTTCTCTTTGGGGTGGGCGGGGCTCGTGGAAGGGTGATCGTCGTTACCCCCTCCCCTGGGGTTGTGGTAACTCTGTATGCAATCGCTCGTTGATTTGGGAAGATGGGCATCGTCAGCTGGCTGTGAACAGTCTAAAGTGATGAAAATAAATTATAAATGTCAATTTTGGAATGAATTATTCTTTGGGGAAGACAGGGAATTGGCAACTTGTAAGCTTTCATTTTTTATCACATACACATAATCCTTTCAATGTTATATATTTCTACTGCTTAAAATACATGACATTAACAAATCAAATTGACTAAAACGAACCAACTCAAATTAAATCAGAGGGGTAGGTACATGTAAGGACCATGCATAAGAATGTACATGTACAGTTCACAAGAAAAAAAGCATAGGAAATAAGGCTTTTGCAAATAAACCACAAATAACAACTTGATAATTTCAAATAGAATAACTAGTAACCATAAAGATGAATATAAAAGGATGTCCCTGAAAGCTAATCCAATGTTCCGCTCTAACAGGATAATTGAATGACTTGTGTCAGCTATACGCCATTGTCATCTTTCAAGTGTTCCATACAGATTTGAGGACAACCACATTAATGTGGGTTAATGTTTTAAATCCCACTTCCTCATATCCCATGCATGCATACATGTACATGTACGTCATATCAATGTCGGTCTACTTGATAAAGAACAAATGCTTTCATATTCACTCTTATTTGAGTCAGTTAATGAACAGATCCATGATATACATAATAATATATGGCAAGATGACATAAAATGTTTGTGACTCATTAATGACATGTCATGATGTGATATCAGTCAACATCCCATATATACATGTGTATAACAAAAAACACATTTAAATTCCTAAGTAATGGAAAACAAATATGTACCCAATAAAACAATGACAGACTGAAGTTTACAGGTGTATGTATATTAAAAAATGAAACTAGGAGAAATGACAAACAATTTCACACTTTTCTCGACCACGATACATGCATGTAGGACATGAGAAACATCAAGAGAACGTAAAGTAAAGAATAATAATTTACTGTAAGGACTATAAGGATCTCAATTATGTTTTGTCTAATTGAACATTGCATATTTTTTTTAAAGTAACATAATCCGACCACACAAGATTTTCCTTTTTAAAAAATCTATAAAACAGATTTTTTGTTTGTGTATTTGATTTGAAAAGCTAAAGGTCTTCATACATGGGAGAGAAATACTGTCTGTTTGACATACATGTAACAAGAAGATCAAATACATGTCTATCTCTACAGAGTTTATGAAATAAAATGTTTCAAAAGGTGACTACATGAAATACATGACATTTCCCTTTAATGTTTCCCTTTAATGTAATTTCTAGTTTGTTAGTTCAAGTGAATGATTTACTCTTCACTTTATAATAGATATATAATCCGTTTATGGCACTTGTTTGCCATACCATGCTTGATATTTATGAATAGGACAATGACAGGCTGTGAAACATGCTGATTTTCATGATTATTTTCTGTTCGAAACAGAAATTGTGGGGGTGTGCATGTTTTCCAACTGAAGCCAATGACCCTGAACAATAGTATCCATTCTGAGAAACAGCTTGGAGCCTACTTTCATCAGAAACTCCTTGCATGTTCTGGCAACCATGAATTGGGATTTGGATTTACTACATTCTCTTGCTTTTTAATGTTTTGTCATTGTCTTAGAGATATGTATGTAATGTTTCACGTCACTTGAATATTTCTACATTCCTATACCTTGAAAATCAAAAGATACTTTTAACTTCATGACAAACTATTTCTTACAATGTACATATTTTGGAACTATAAGCAGTTGTATAACAATGGTATGATCTATAGACATTTTCAATATTCCCCCCCCCCCCAACCTCCTGAAACAAAACAAAACAAAACAAAATCCTTAAATAATGATGATGGATCTTATCAGTATATATCAATTCTCAATCCTCTCAAACATTAAAACAAACTACATCAGCTTTTAATAATAAACTGTGAAAATGACATATAATTTATAATTCTTAGTGTGGTAAACAGTGCAAGTAAAATAAAAGTCATCCATGCTACATCACATCCTTTTTTTGTTTGTTTTGTCATGAACAATATATGTTTTTTAAAGTACAGTGTGTGATGGCTTTCTCAGGTACATGTATATGCTTTCAAATGGCAATAAACTCCAGGTGGTGTTTCACAAAGATCTTAAGTCAAACTTAACTCCTAAGTTGGACTTAAAACCTTATGGAGAGCCATTTGTAGCCTTTAAAACAAAATATATTCAAAAGCAAAAATTCAAGTATTTTAGACTTTTCATAAATTACACATTGAGATTATGAAATCTCCTAGATAATAGAAAATATGAATGTTTTGAATCACCATTTTATGCCTTTTAAAATAACTTTTACAAAATATTTTCAAAGATACTATGGCTTTCCATAATAATAAGTCCAATTTAGAGAAAAGTTCAATTCAGAGAAAACTTCAACGTAGGATCTCTGTGAAACACCCTCTTGTCCCTGTTTCATAAAACTTGATATCAATAACAAGTTACAAGCTACTGTTATAAGCTACTGAAATCAAGGCATCTGATTGGCTGAGAGCAAATTTGTCATAGAAATTTTGCATTTGTCATAGATAAAAAGTTTTATGAAACTGGTCTCCTGTATATATTTTATTAGTAATTTTTGATTCTCCCTACATTTAGGGCAATATACATGTTTGTCATTGATAAGAGGAAATTCCAAGGTTTGGGTTGGTTGCAAAGTATAAGTCATTCGGAAGGAAACTAGAGGTGGAACAACTTCCAAAGAATCATACTTTAAATGCAATAGGTATTTCCAATTGCTTCCTCTCCTCTGATCTTGGGAAAGTAGGTTTATGTGTCAATCACAAACACCGTGTGATAGGTTAAGTACTATTTTTCACTTTTCCTAAACCATTTTAGTTTTATTTGGTATTCAAATATAGGAAAGCAAAAGTCTGTATCTCCCTCCAACTATCTCTCTCTATCCCCTTCTCTCTCTTTCCTTCTCTCTCTTCCTCCCTCCATTCTTATGTCTCTCTTTGACTCTGTCTGTCTTTGTCTCTGTGTGTGTCTGTCTCTCTGTCTGTCTGTCCGTTTATCTCTCTCTCTCTCTCTCTCTCTCTCTTGGCCGTGACCCCAGACTCACTCAGAAAAGGGGGCATACATTGTCTTTTAATTGTGGCCAATTTGTTTTACAGTGCTGAAGTTGTTTAGTGTAAGGGCCTAGGGGGGGGGGGGCTGTGCAGGAATAATAACTGAGCTCCACGAAAGAAAAAAGAAAAGTAAAAGAAAGAAAAAGTCTTTTCAATGACAGAAATGCTCCCTTTCTCAAATTTGTCACTGCATGCCTCTTTTTTTTGTGAAAACGATACTTTTCATACTAGTGAGAGGAAAGTTGATAGTCATTGTACATATAAATCAAAGTTGAACAGAAAAATCACTTCTTAGCGGGGCTTGCAGAGATGTTTCTCATGTGTTGCCAGCTATGCACAGACATTATTCTAATAATAAGAGTTTCCATGGCAATCTCAATGATACTAACAAATTGAAGTAGTTATAATTTTCAGAAGACCACCGTGCACAATAAAAAGATTATTTCATGGCAGAAGATATTTCTCTTCATGTTCATGAATACACACATTTATTCTTAACACAATTCATACATGAAACCAATCAAAGCCTACATGTATCCCATTTAACCTCTCATATTTTCTTTGAACTTACCATTAATATCAACAAGGGCAACATAGGCTTGACTATCTTTCTTCATGTTGACTAGAGCTCATTAACCTTATTCCACCAATGCAGAGGGAAAAGTTGAAATGAACTCAAGAGAGACTTGTAGATGATGACATATACGTTCACAAACATCTCATCTCACAATTCCAGTTCTTAAAGGATATAAGAAGCAAATAATCCTCAACGCTCCTCAATTATATGCACTTGATCATGATCGACAGCTCAAGTTCTAAACACACAATTTTAAGAGAGCATTTTCCTTCACTTGAAGTTCAACTTTGATAGAGACGTACAGCACCAATGTCAATATGAATGAGGAAAGGTTTGAAACAAGCTCTGTATTATTAGGAATAGTTATACACTTATGCTTCGCTGCTGCAGTTAACACATGCTGTGAACTTCACTGGAAAAGAGAATGAAAGTCTTCCAGCACCCCATAGAGGTGATGAAAGAAAGGTGAACCACCGCGGCCTCTGCTTACCTGCAGCCTATACAATGGACTTGAGAATTTCTCCAAGCCAATAGCCCTGCAGCACAAGCACAGCTTGTTGTTATCACAAGTATACATATGCTCAGTTTTGCTCGCCTCAAAGGAGAGTTTGATCTACTCTGATTGTCAATTTGGTTTTAATAGAAACAGAAAAACAGGCCAGTGAAAGTTTGAGCAAAATCTGATTAATAACAAGAAAGATAAGAACTTTCCAAGGTACAATCAATCAAACACAAATTGGTAACTCTGTGAAGTATCTTGCAAGCTCCCCTCCCTAGTTAAATTTTCCCTTAAGAAAGTGTTTAAGCTTACATTCACCCTATGCAATTATAATTTTGCTAATATGTATTTATACAACCACTGCATGAAACCAATCAATCCCATCATCAATATCTAAGAAAATAATAATCTATCAAATTTTCTGTACAAAGCAAATTGGAGAGGAGCTCGCAAGATTCGTCACAATGTTGCCAATTTGTATTTCATTCAACTTCAAGAATTCATAAATTTCCCATTTTAGTCAGATATTGGTCAAACTTTCACTGATTTGTTTCTCTCATTTTTCTACTTTCAATTATTTAAATTAACTTAATATAAGGGTGGACTTTCCCTTTAAGTACAATGGACGCTAGCTCTCGAGAGCTAAGTTGTAAGTTATACCATGGACCTACTTGTAGTAGGTCCATGGTTATACTAAGGGTACGTTTATGCTCAACTTTTTCTGGCCAAAATGAGGCCTTTGTTACGTGTTTAGTTCAAAACACAGTTGCGTCCTTCTCATTTTTGTAGAATCACCGAAAAACAGTGATTATACTCGCCAATCGTAAACTCACAAAAAGGTGCGTTTTGGATCGGCGATTCTAAGGAAGCATAAACGCACAATCATTTGTAAATGCGTTAAATTGGGGTCAACGTAGCATACGCAGTGCAGGTTTGCAAATCCAGCTGCAGAGTCAGAGAAGTGAGCATAAACAGTACACCGTGGAACTGCGATTATGATGAGCGTTTACGATGAGCGTTTCAAATTGCTCATTCTGCCTTCAAAATTGAGTATAAACGTACCTAAAAGCCTATCCTGTAAGAGTTACAAAGGTTGTTCACACTAGTCTGCCTCCAGAGCCGGTTATTTGTCTATCCCTTCCCCATTCAGCCAAGCAAAGTTTATTGTATACAATTGTATAGCTAGAATAGTTTTTTCTAGCCTGTACGTATGTCATGTATGTATCCACACATTGTGTGTCTGGACAGGTTGGTTATAAATCCGAACAGTTTATTTCAAACAGTAATCAGAAGTTTACATTTAAATTTGGTAAATCTTCAAACTAATGTTGGACAATATTATATAACAACAAATCTTCATGATAGTTATTGCTATATGATGCATATTTTTCGTTAAATCCAAAGGCAAAAGTGACAGCTCATCTTGAAGAAAATAACAAGAAAGATAAGAACTTTACAAGGCGCAATCAATCAAACACAAATTGGCAACTCTATTGAATCAGGACCATAAATGTGCAAATCGTACTGAACGAAAACCATGAACTGTTTGGGATCGAAGGGCCTAGCATAAAATTCCAATGCAGATATGACACAAGCTGACACCAAACATACAAGGTTTAATAGCTACATACTATTTACACAATATTCTTATCTGGTGTGTACAATGTACACCAACTTCACTACATAACGATTCTTTATCCAAGCATCGTACAATTTATGTCTGGTGTGGATGCCCTCCCAGTTGCCCAGAGATCGCAGACAAACCGAACACACCTGTAGAACTGAACTTTAGACTGTGTTCTTATTCCAGGCTGAGTTGTTGATGTGAGTATTCCTACAGGAACTCTTTTATACACACCTTCAGTGCTTTACAAAAATGGTTGGTAGTCTCTTAATAGCTACAATGTATTTCAAATTATATCTTTATAGCTTCATAATTAATCCTCAAGAAAATTATGTTCTTGCATATTGGTTTCAAAATTCTCAAGTGAATATCGAACAATTCTCATTTTCTAGGGCAATATATAGCATTTATCATTTTATTTCACCCAAAATTGAAAATTTCTTGATATATTTGACCATTGACCAATGCTTCTTTCTTGTATCATATAACAGTATTATATGGTTATATCAAGATTTTGTTAATATTTTTTATGATATACAAACACGTATATATTGCACCTCGAGGGCCCTCTAAATGAACTGAAATGGTTCAACACTGTTCAATATTAAAGCCAACTGGTTCTGTAAAGAGCACAGGATTTTATGATACTCTCCTCAAATATTTATATACATATAAATATGTGCCGGTATACGTTACAACATGTGCCAGTATACCATAAAATCAAAGTTCCCACAAAATTGATATTTCAATGGTAGTTATAGTATACTCAAATATATGCATATATTTTGATCAATTTGAAAACAACAAGAGGTTACATGTACGTGGGGAATAATGTTCCATTTCTTAAATTCCATGCAACAGAATTTACATTCTGCAAATTGCATATCTCAAATACAATTATAAATTGATATAATTATATTATAACAATCAAATGGATAATTTGTAAAGACTTCACTAGCTTGGTTCCCACTTCCTGCATTCACTTCTCAATTGTTAAACACAAACTGATATATACATGTACATGCATGTATAAACGAGAATGTTCAAGCAAGATTATTTTCATGCATGGTTAGCTGCTATTAAATTAGATTGACAAAAAAAGAATGAGTCAACAGTACAGTACATTAAAAACCATGATCGTGTCTATGAGCCTGTTTTCTAGTAGTATAAGCTGTATGAGCTGATATTGCAAGTTTGCACACATTTTTGTCCTAATTCCCACTTATTCCATTTGATATGACAAGGATAATGAACATGCATGCATAGTCCGTAAGTACAGTAACCACATAAAACTACATGTTGGAGCAGTTGGAAAAATTACATATATATCATTCAACAAAAAGTTGAGAAGTAAATTTTAGTGTATAATAAAATAGAGATACATACATGTACTCTAGGAGTCAGAGGGCGAATAAACAAATCACAGGTAGTGATCTGAGAGAGAATGACCAAGAGGAAATATCGCCAACAAAATGCCTCTTGAAAGAAAGAAGCTACTTCACCCCAACATTTTCTTGGCCCACTTACCATTGACGGCAACTAGTGCCACATATCCTTGAGTGTTTTTCTTCATGTTATCTTCCTCTCAAAGTTATCCAATGAGAGAAATCCTTTAATCAAATGTTGCTTGTCTGCATGATCCCCAATGTGAAATCTATCTCAAATAAGTTCTTGAAAAGAACATTCTTTGGCTTCAAGGCCAACTACCTACACAGTGATCTTCATTTTCTATGAACTTGGGTAATTCAAACTGAGGAATATCAGCAGAAAAGCAGATTACAAAATCATCCTTCGCTTTCAACTTGAACTTTCTTTCTTCCACAAACAAGCTCCTTTTCCAAATGACAGAACAACATGGTTCACTTGATTTTGATGGTTAATGTTTAGCTGAAATATTTGATATTTGTAGGGATGAAGAAATTTCCGACTTGGTCTCGATGAGGTGTCCTCGTCTCAAAGTGAAAGTCAGTCTTGGTGTGGGGGACCAAAACTGGAATTGAAGAACCAAGTCTCAATTTCAAGGACCTGCATGGTCTAGATTCCCCCAAAATAGGCCAATGTTATTTAGACTACATTTAATATCAAAGTGTTTTCAGCTGTATACGGTCTGCTCTCTTCCTTCCTAATTTCAAAGAAATAACGGGACAGGCACAGACAGACAAAGCACTATAGCTGAGCTCACTCATGCATTTTCAAAGTGCACTGAACAACGGATGAGCATATATAGTCTTAGAGGTACATGCCCCAAGCTCCAATAATAGAACCTTCAACCTTTTCATTCCATGATTGAGCACGTTGCCCTTTGCAGCTCAGGATCAGTATTCAAATGGAGCTGATTAAAGCTTAAATCATATTCTCTTCACAAGTCCAATGTAGAAAGCAGTTCCTAATCACAATACACCTTCATATATATCCAATTATGATCGCTTGATCCAATTATGCAGATTATTGTAACATTAATTTCCCCTTGCTGGTATATTCTAAACTAGAAAGCTCACACTCTTTCCAATAACTACATGAAAGCCTATATGTGCACCGTACGTACACTCATCGAGTACAATGCTCTGTTGATTCCATTGTGCAAATAAGTTCAAAAGCTCTTTCATTGTATTCCATTGTTTGCTCTCTAAGGATTTCAAAAGAAGTAAAAAAAAAATAGTCTCAGCGTGATGCCCCAGCATGTTTTCTTTTCCTTTCTTTGTTCTTTTTTTTGGTGTTTTTTAAAACAAGATCTGATGGTGTTTCAATTAGGCTTCAAGAATATTTCAAGGCTTATAAGTGCACGCTAATAAAAGATTAACAATATACTTCATCGAGTAATGAACAAAATAAAAGAAAGAAACAGCAAGCAAAGAGGTAGAGGGATATGGACAAGGGGAAAGGAACAAGAAAAGAAGATTCCTGGACCATCTCCAGCATCCTCCCCCTAGTCAGTTACCTTGTCAATTTGCATTTAATATAATGTAAGAGTTCAGACGATTTTGACCAATTTTAACAATTTTGACAACAACAAAATAATTCAAAGAGAAGAAAGAGAAAAATACGTAAAGAAAATGATGACAGTTATAAAAAAAAAAGACAATGAGATAACATGCTATGTAAAAAGTAAGAGAAAAGGCAGATGACATACTACAGAAAACAATCTAAATATGACCAAAACACTGGTGAGAACAAAATAAATTGGACAACTAATATGATTCTAGTATTCCAAAAAATGGCACCATGGTTGTGATAACAGTGATACTACAAAGACAAATGCAAAATGATTTGAAGACAAAATCAAAATCTGTGTAGTGAGTCTTTCAGGTTGAATGTGACACCAACAAAATGGATGTTGACACTGACTTGACAGTGAAATTTGATTAAATTGATTTACCAAGCAAATTCTGCAGTTCTTCTGTCGTTCCTTTCTCATTTCTCCTTCTGCTCTGTCTTGATGTGCCAGCTTGAAATGTATTATGTGTTAGTCGCCATGAAAATATATTAATCAACACAACTTAAAATTTGATTTTAAATCCCCTTTTTTTTTCTCTCTCTCTCTCTCACATTATTTATCTTTGTCCTACTCATTCTCTCTGTTTTTTCCTTTATCATCTCTCCAACTACAATATTTGTTTTCTTTATTTTGTTCTTTCTTCCCCCCCCCCCCCACCGCGAATTTTTTTTTCCTACGAACTTTGAGCTCGCGAGGGGAACCTGCGCATGCGCACTCGCGAAGGAAACCAGCGCATGCGCACGTGGAATCCGGTAGGGCGGTCAATAGGGTGATAGTAATTATACAAAGCAATCTTTCATCAACTCATCGTTAGCTCAATCGGTAAGGACAGCATTTTACTAATAAAACCTTGGAGTTGCCGTGAGGGTTCAAATCTCAGTTTATTTAGTTTTTTGCCTTTATAAATAGTGAGGCAAAGCAATAAGTAATCAAAGTCTAATTGTTTGTGACCTCCTTGCATGCGTGAAGTATAAAAGTTTGTATGTGAGCATGCGCCAGGTATAAAAGTTCGTAGGAAAAAAAAGTTCGCCCCCCCCCCCCACCTTCTCTCTCTCTCTCTCTTTCTCTCTCTCTCTCTTTCTCTCTCTCTCTTTCTCTCCTATCCTTCATCATCCAATTCCATTCTCCATCTACTCACTTTGCCCATTACCCTTTAACCATCACCTCTCCCCCTTCCCTTCCCTCTCCCTTCCCTCTCTCATCTTTTTTGTTCTCTCTTTCTCTCTCTCTCTCTCTCTCTCTCACTTTCTCTCCCTCTCTCTACTTCATTCATTTGTCTATCTTTCACTCTTGTAACCATCTGTCACTTGGACTTTGATTATCAAACAAAACAAACTGCAATCTGTCTCATTAAAAGCTTTCAACTATTTGTTAAATGTTTGTTTGATATCTAGCAGAGTTGTGTAACTACCTGTGCTTGATTCTGACTGATAGCCCAGCTTGGCAATGACGTCCATCACAAAGCTCTTCATGCTCTTCCTTCCCGGATCATGAACCACTGTTAGGGCGCCCTCGTGGTTGACTGTTGCTCTCATGACCCCAGGACACTCACGAACCTTCTCCAAGACGCAAGCCGGCAACTGACTCCCTCTTATGATCTTTCCTTCAACCTAGAGGGAGGGGGGGGGGGGTCAATTTTTTATTTAAAGTACAGTTAAAAACGTAAAATGCCCACCTTTTCTTTACTTAAAAAAAAACATTTTCATTCTAATTGATCTGCTATCCATTTTCAAACTGAAGATGACAAAAACATATTTTTATAACCCACAACATATATAAGGAATATCTTATCTCGTAGACAACTATTGTGTCAACAAAATGAATGATAAAATTGCTCTCCAATCATCCTTTTTGTAAAGATAGCACAATAGTTCGATCAGGATTAATAATCTACTTTAAACCTAAACTAAGGCATGGTCCTGGGAGTTTTTACAATTATTTGAATGATCTAGAGTGCATCAAATGTAGCATGAACTCATTCTTCAAACCAAAGGAAGTGTTGCTCAAGTGTTTTTTCCCCTCCTCACTTTTCATTGAACAGCAATTGCTATCAATATTCTTTCTTTTTGTATTTATTGTCGATCAATTTCCACAATTTGCAAATACATGTCAACTGTTTTTAATTTTTTGTTTAATAATTATGAACTTGACATCAAGTTTTAGATAGCAATTACACCAGACCCATTTATTGAAATCTTCATAAGGATAACAAAATATTTTTTAAAAAACTTTGAAGTGAAGTCCTGCTATAAAATAGATGTAACTGTTGCTCAATAAGAGTGGTGAAATAAATTACCAGAAGATCATTACCTTCAAATATCAATATATGAAAAATACTGAGGGGAGGAGAACAATTTAAAACTAGAAAGATAACAAAATGCCAGAGACAATTCAAACAGATTGGGAAAAACAGTAGACTTCAAAACCTTGTAGATCACAAAATCTTACTTAAATTCCAATTTCAAAAAAAAAATGTCATTGAATTGAAACATGATTATTAAATGTTAGGCCTATACTTGATATCATCATTTGATGATAGATTTCTCCTAAAGATAAATTTAAAATTCACCTGGAAGAACTTAGGAATTGTATTTTTTTAGAACCCTGAAAAAGTCTCACTTTTTTTTAATTTAATATGAAAGTGACAAAATAAATACAAAGCAAACAATTTACTCTCTATTCTTTAAAAAAAAGAAGACAAACAATATTAGAAAAATATTCTTAATTGGAAAGAAGACAGAATAAATACAGTAGGGATAAATACTACTTGGACAGTCTTGTTCTAAATTCTAAAATGGTACTGAACTTTACAATGTTTCTTCTGAATTCACTTGACAGGGATTTTTTAAAAAATTGTTATCCAACAATCGATATAAAAAAATATGCCGACTTAAAAAAAAGACACTTACCTTGATTATCAAGTTAAATGTCTCACACTTCGGTGGCCCTATTTCCTTCTCCTCAAAATCTGTTTGTACATTGGCTACAGCAGAATCATCATCATCAGATTTTCCGGACTCAGATACAACAGGAGCGTTCTCATCCTTTGATCCAACGTCGGGTGAAACTGGATTGGCAAAAGACTCCACTTTGCCTACTATATAACCAAGCTCATCAATGACATGAGCTATGACATCATGACCAATCAGTTCATTGTCATAGAAGACCCTGACGATCCTGGTCGGCAAAGAACTTTTCACAAGTTTGACCCCTTGAAGCTTGGTGAGTTCAATCTCGATCGTTCTGCGGCAAAGCTCACAGTTCATGTTGGGGACTTTGATAATGGCAACGGAAGCCATCTTGAAAGTTTTTCTAAGAAGAGGATCTAAAATAAGGATGAAAAAAGACAGATCCCCAAATGATGTTATCTAAAGTGAGCATTCGCTGCTATTCTAGTCAGCAGGAAATATTTGTGAGGAAATAATCAAGTGCAGTGAATTAAGGAACATCTGCACACATGATGACAACATGAATTAATACTACACCTGAAAAAAATTGGTTTAGAAAGGTATTTCCCCCTCTAAATTCTTAAAATTTGGAAACATTCCTGTTGTTCTTTCACATGAATTCATATGGGAAATGACACAATAACCACATCCACATAAAAATAACTTTGATTAAAGTAAAGGAAAAAAAAAAAAAAAATCTTTTTCTTTCACCATTTGTTCAAAATAGTAAGTGCTTTTCACAAAATTTTCCTGATCCCAATATTATCAGTGGGGCTAAGGGGTATCTTAGCAGCACTGAAAGTAGAGGACTCATAATGTACATTTGGTTTTACCAAAGTAGGCTAGTCCCATCTATAATACAGGATTATTTGGTCCCAGAAAAAGCAGGGTTAGCACCGCAATTGTAGTGATATCTCTTGAAATGCGGTGCTAAGAGCTCAAGTGAAAACAGAAATCAAAATATTCTGGGGCTAAATCAGATTTGTTAAACATTTAAATCAGATTTTAAAAACAAATTTCAATCAATGTTTTAATTTTCTTTAAATAAAAAATGTTCCATTAAAACATGCTTGCCTACATGTACTGTAGTTGAGGTCATGAGGACCTTTAATATGAGAAATATCTCATTTTTGTGATACATGTACATTATACTTTCAAATTTAAAAATATCTATGATGTCATCAACATTACAGAGCAAACATAAAACTAAAGCACAATGCCCCAATAGCCTTGCCATAATGATTGGAACAGGTTATTTTTCCTGTGACATACAAGAAGCAAATACACAAATTTAATTTTTTAAGGAACCATTACTTCCTCAATCAAATGGTCAAATTCAATGGCTTTACTTGTGCAAACATGTGTGAAGGATATTCAATCAAACACAAGGTTTATTTCTCATCTAAAAGGTAATGGAAATATATTTTCAGGTGGCAAACTAATAAAACTATACTAGCCTCTAACTATTGTGGGGGCCATTATACAAAATAATTACCTATACAAGGTAATTCCACAATGCAATTAAAATGCCTATTTGGCCGATTCCGCAAACTAGCAGTTTCAAGCGGGCTATATTTCCTGATATTTTAACTCTTCACGTTGTATACAAAAACTCAA